CGCATTCATTCATAGTAACTATCAATTTTAGTTAACAGGGAGCTTAGTAGAAATTTTGGACATTTGAATCGCTGCAAAAAGTCTAGTATCGGAACCTTGTGAAAGTGTGAAAGAGTATCGTGAAAAATTTTAGAGAGCATTTTTAGGTCGTTGGCAAACAAAAATTTTGCTAAGAGTTTCTAAACGTTGCAATAAGATATATCTAATAAAGCAGGCGTCATCTAATAACAGCTGAGAGGTTATTATGTTTTCTTTTTTTATTTTAATCGTACTGTTTGATCTGAATCCATGGTCACCATTTGAAAACGTGCTCGATTTCTTGTTATGAAATATGGGAATTTGGCAGACGTAAAATATTAAAAAATACTACTAGTGTCCTAAATTTTAAAATGATTATGGAAAGAGTTCTTTGTAAGTATTGACTATTACTATGTACTATACTAAACAACTACAGATACTATATAAGAGAAATCACTAGAAATGGCTCTCCATTTCCACATTTATATTATCAAAATGTATATATTTTATTTTTGGTGGCTTTTGAAAATATTGAAGGTGGTCTATAATAAAATCCTTTCAAATGCAACAGCTGGTGTGCACACACTGTTAATGAAGATTAATCAAGTATACTTTTTTTAATGGAAGATTTGTGTTTTGTTCGACTTAGACTAAAAGTATTGAAATACAGGCGGTTATATCAAAACTTCGAAATAAATTTGAAATACATTCAAACTTCTATAACTCGAAGTACCATTTTGCGAAGAAAAGGTTGGACTAATGGAGACTTTAAGTTTAAGAATATTTTTGTAATTTGCTCTCTGAACCCTGTTGCACTCTATTTAGTTCGAGTTATGGAAAATTGGAGTTATAGAAGTTTGAGGTATTATGTTGAAGCTAGTCAGTGCACTTGAGCACTTATACTCTCCATTAACGCGGCGAGGTTTCTTCAAAACCCCTCTCTACGTCTTGACTGGATTATTGTTTATCACTTCATCAGTCTAAGCAATAATTGACCTCAGATTTGCATACCTCTCCGAGTAGCCTGTAATCGTTTTGAAATTCGATAAAGCGATGTTGGTAAGTTTGTCAGTTTTCGTAAATAACTTCAGGGCTTATAACAAAAATCTAATGCGATAGCTGGTGCACACTCACATCTAATTGAAAATATTCGAATTCACTTTTGTATAGTGTGAGATTCGTTTTTGGTCCTATTTAGATCTATAGTAATAGATTAGGGTTAAAAGCGGTTATATCGAGAATTCGAAATAGATTTTTTTTTTATGGAATTCTTTTCGTTTTGAATTTCAAAGGTATAGATAAAAGCTAACTAAGAACGTTCAGTCCAATTGGGCCCCCCTCCTACTTTGTAATAGTATATTGAAGTTAGTATTAGTATTTTTCGAAATAAATTTTGTAAAGTTCTAATGAAATAATAGTGATTGATCTCAACAGAGTAGTGTGTTCCAAATTCATTCATACTGGTTCACGAGCTTGTGAGGTTTCTTCAAAGTGTTTTCGTAGCAATTGATTGGGAGCAGTTGAAATGGTTCTTAACTTTCTTTGTTAATATTGCATACCAGCCACTCAACTCCACAATATTTTATGACTACTTACGGTTTTTGTTGTTGTGGTACTTGTTATTGCTGCTGCTGTTGTCATTGTATTCGTTGTTGTTGTTGTTGTTAGAGTTTTTATTTTCAATTTAAAAGCACGTGTGTACACACATACACACATACACACATAACAAGCACACATCACATACTTCTTATTAATAAAAAACAGTTTAAATTTAAGCACGCCAAGCCACGATATGTTGTTGTAGTAGTGGTATTTGTTGTTGTTGTTGCTGGTGCTATTCTACCATATGAATTTATTGTTGTTATATATGCGTGCGTATGTTTGTATATAAAAGAGTGGCTACAACACAAACATTAGTTTGATATGAATGATTTGTGTGTGTGTGTGCGTTTGTATGTGCGCTGTTGTTGCCACTTTTTCTGCCGCTTGACTTGCGTAGGCGAACTTGATTCTTAAGTTATTTGATCGTCGACCACTTTGCATTTACGGCATGATTTCAAAAAGATAAAATGAAATCCAAAAAAAAAAAAAAATGTAACCAAATAATATTTGTGTGTAAATATATTGCAGAGCGTATGTATATATGTATACATGTCTCAAATACGGATTGCTTTTTTTTTTTAGTGATTTTTGTGCTAGTGCAACTGCTATTCAAACTGATACAATCTGATCCCGATCTTTGAACTGATTCAATCTTGGAATTTTCAATATTTACGTTGGCGTTTATGAATTTCACTAATTATGAAAGCGATCATCTTTATTATCATCAACATCATTATTATCATTATTATTTTCTTCATTGGTTAAGTGCAACGTTTGTAAACATCATGATTGTGATCGTTGCGAACAGTGCTGATCATTATGTATAAAAATATGTACATATGTATGTTCATAATCGCAATGATAAACTGGAGGCGCTAAGCGCACTCTAATCAATTCGTTACTCTCAGTGGCGAGAGTAGCTGTGGGAAAGTTCAAGAATAACAGCAACGATTGATCAACTGAGCGCAGGCCATAGAATTATAAGCATATGGATATGGAATCGCAATGCTGTTATTCATCTGCTTGGAATGATAATCATAATGCAGTTAATACTTTTTATACTCATACTTTTGGCCTGTATTGTGGCGCTTTGTTTTATTTTTTTTTTTTATTTTTTCTACCTTTATTTTCTACCTTAATGAGAAAATATCAATTCTTTAAGAGATTCTTCGTACTCATCTTATTAGATTATAAAAAAATAAAAAAAAGGTATTTGAATTTATTAAAAAAAAAATACATGCCATTGATTTTCATATGTACCTATATCGGCTTTTCCCTTTTAATGGCTTTGTTTATATCACCACAGAATATACCAAACAAAAAAAATCAAGAAAAAAAAATAATATATAATAAAAAAGAAAAAATCTGAAAAAAAGGGAAAATAATTTTTGTGTCAAAACATCATTTATAAACGTCTTCAGCCTTAAGGTATTGAAATTGGTGTGAACTCTTGTCCGTCCTAATAACATATTAAACCAAAATTATTACAAAACGAATTGTAGTCAAGCATATGTTGTACATTGAAATGCTTTCGGTATGTGCCCAATGTTAGAAAAGAATCAAACTGAACTATGAAATTTATTAAAAAAATGGTTTTCGGTCTATGGTTTGACATCTAGGAAATACGATTTCATTTAAAAATTAAATTGTAACATTGTATAGCAACATTTATTTGTTAAATGTATGTATATTAAGATTTAAACTTTCATTTAAATAATTGCAAAGAATTGCTTCAGTATCTTCGCAGTGACTATCCATCTCACTGGATAGAACAGTTTTCATAGAAAACACTGGATAGTTTTAAGCCACACATTTTTATAAAGAGAACTTTTGGTTTTATTTTCAAAATTTGTGGTGTACATGATGAATCGCCATATCACATAGATTTTAGGAAGTACACCCATTGTAAGATCACAGTTCTAAGGTACGCTTTTTGTTTTTTATTAAGAGAACTTTTGATTCTATTTTTAAAATTTGTGGTTCTTGTTTCTGTATAAGGGACTCGTTAGCTAATATGTCTTTTTATTAAAACAAATCATATCTTTAATGCGTACACTGATTGGTTATATCAAGCACTTGGAAGTAATTTTTCTACTACCTCTGCTCTCTAGCTACGATTGCAGTCGTTAAAAGGAACTTTTAATTGGTCGACAAGTTTGTTTGAAAGGCAGTGAGCTAGGAATGTTCACGCAATGGACCAATGACATAAATCTGTTATGTGATCTGCTTGAAGATCAGAAATCAAAAAAAAATTACAACAATCATTAATATATATAACAGTCACATAACAATCTTAAAACAGAGACTCTGGAAACATACGCAAACACTATAATAGCTACGCACAATTCCTTTTTCTGGTATACCTAATATAATATATTTTATTCTTTTTTTGTGTCAAAAAACAATTTTTGTGAAATATTTGAATAGCGCTAGTGACCAATCAGCCCACTCAAAAATTATAATCTAATATAACATATGTGGTGAATATTTGTTAAACACTACATATGCACAGACTACACTCATATTTGTCAGGAGTTTAACTTAAGATCCAACCATTAAAAAAATTTTTTAATTTAAGCATAAAGTATTTATCTGACCATATACCCACATTGAAGCAGAATTTTAGAGGGATTGAGCTTAATCAGATAGGAATTAAGCTTAACAGATATACGTTTTGGGGTGAAAGATTTCATAAAAATCAGACAGCCGTTTGAAAAGTAAAATTTCGTTACGTTTAGAAGAAGGATATGGAATGAAATATCTGTCGTTTTGTGCTCTTTGACACATCAGTTAGTGTGACGATTTTCGATTGCTTTGTCAAATTCTTAAAGGTTTAAATTACCGGACTTAACTAAAGAATTATGAGGTATATCAGGAAACAAACGTAGCAAAATAACTTCTGATTCTCCCAAGAGAAACTTTCTATTCAGACAACAGTAGGCATTTATAGTACTAAAAAAGACGAGGTTACGTAGGCAGCCAGGTATGACTGGGTCAATGCACGTCATCAAGGTGATCAGGTTCTCTGAATTAAGGAAATTATTTTGCTTGCTTTACAAATATCTGGAGAAACATATATATCTAATACATATTCGTATATTGTATCTCTTTTAACTATCGTAAGTTGAAATTGTAAGATTATATTGTAATTATTTACTCTTTTAGATAATAAACTCAGCATTAGGCTTGATTATTATACTCTTAATGTAATATTAAAGTTTAGTTAAAATATTTACTAAGTTAAAAACTGTTGTGCAGTTTCTGTAGTACAAAAAAATGTCTGAATGATCTGAAATATTATCTTTTACATAATTTTATTTTTTAGCACTCATAATTATGAAGTTTTTTTTATTGAATATTCTTTTGCTCTTTGATTTCAGAGGTGTTCAATGTCACGATACAGTGAACGGTGCACAATGTGATACCTGCCCAATCGGTTATGATGGTGATGGACGCACATGTACCATACGTAATCCATGCTTGGATGGACCATGTCCTTCAGGTAAACACAATACACAAGAAACATAAAGAATTTCACTTTTCATCTACATTATTTTGTTTTTATTATTTCGCAGAATTATTTTTTGTATTTAATTTTTAGTTTTGGTTCTGATTTATATTTTCACTTAATTTTGATTTATTTGACATTTGTACAATTTAATTTTATGTTCCGAACTGATATAGATAGAAGATGTTTGGGAAAAATTGAATTGACCGAGTAAGCGAGTAAGTGAAGAATAGCTTGCGGTCTGTGTGTTTGGTGTTAATTGATTTCGCGAAGGCTGTAATTTCGAAGACAGCAGCGATTGATATGACGTTTTACCTCCGCTAACAGTGAAATCGGGAAGGGCCTCTTCATTGTGCTAATGGATTTTTAATATTTTTATTTATCAATTTAAGTGTTGTTTTGAACATTTCTTGTCTTTCAATTTAAAATGTTTTCTTTTTAATGAATTTATGTGTATTCGATAAATGCTCTACTTCATTTGCGTATGTTCCAATTAATATAGAAGAGGTCACCTTTTTATTGTGAGAAGTGTTACAAAACAGCCCATAATATCATATCTTTCGGTTAGATAAAAAATGTTCTAGGAAATTAGCTCCACCCTTTATACACACATATTTAATTTTTGGCAAGTGAATAAAAAGATTATAGAAGCAATTAAAAGATTATAAATATAAAAATTTATATCTAAGGAATTTGTAAGGTAAAGACTTCAACACTCATTAAAAAAAAATAATGAATCTATAGAACAATTTTAATAAACGGCTTAAAATTTTTTTGTTCTGACAGAGATCAGGAGATTATATTAACTTTTTTTGATAGTAGGAATGAAGAAAAATATTTAAAAATATTGGAAAACTTTCTAGCAACTTAGTAAATAATTTCAATTAGTAACTGATTCAAGCTTTTTAATACGTATATATATTCATTTTTTTATATGGTTATAAAAAAGGTGTCCCAAAAATTGTGACAGAAGTCATCTCAGAATGATAATAAAGGATTTAGATTAAAAATTTTGAATTTTTTTTTTCGATTCATTAAGTATGTAGTATATGCTATAGTTTTACTTTCTTTTTTAAGGAATAGGTGCTTGTGGAATTTTTGTTATAAATTCCAGATTTACAAAAAAAAAATAAAACAAACTTTAAAAAATCAATTGCGGCTTTTTCTTACAGCGAGAAAATGCAGAATAGGAATTGACCCATGCAGTAGTTAAATTAATTTCTTAGGTTGTATGGTATAAGGATTCATCTTGTTTAAACTCAATATTTTCACATCCATATCTGGCTATTCATTCACATATGAACGGAGGTATCGTTTTGTACCTGTTATTGTCTGACCAGACGCATTTTTATACTAATCATATTCATATATAGATGAAGCTGTCTCTTAACTATCACTTAGAGATTTATAAGTGGATAGTTTACAAGTTTAGTTTACGTTTGGTTAGATTAATCTGTCTGACTGTTAAAGCGATAACTGTTAGAGTCGGTTTTGTAGTAAGAAATATATTATGTATAAAAATATATATATATTATATAACATTTTTGTTGTATATATATTCTATGAGTTGAATTTAGTTACAATAAATATTTACTGATTGCGTTGGAATACATAATTTTTTTCTTGATTTGCTGAAAAAATATTATATGTTAAAATATATCATATCATTGACTCGACCGGCAGACATTTGCTTCCTATCATAAACAATGTAATAAACTCCTTTTTATAGACATCATAAATGCTTTAACTGCTACATTCATTAAAAATTATTAATTTTAAAATTATTTTAAGCATATGCAATATATAATTTATTTATGCTATTATTATATTACCACAGGAAATACGGGCATTTTAGTACCAAGCCATAATGTACAGCATTATCAGAGACAGTACACTGCTCGAAAGTATTCGGTTGTGACATCATAAATTACAGACATATAAATTTATCAGCTTAAATTTTTTTTTGTAATTATAAGAAATTATTTAAAAATGTTTTGCAAAAATTTAAAAATATGATAATAAATTTAAAACTCTTAATAATCAAATAAAAAAATATACATATATCAAATAAAATAATAATTACAATAAACAACTAAATCAATTGACAAAAGTATTATTTTTCCAAAAAAAAAGAAAAAAACAAAAATAATATAAAAAACAATTAGAATATAATTAATAAATAATTATTTTCAAATTTCACTAATTGCAAATAAACATAAAATATTTATACAAAATATTTAAGAAATATTTTTATAATTCTTGCTCTGATTTTAAAAATTATTAAAATTATTATTAAAAATGTTAAAAAAATAAATATGTATTAAAATTTGATTTTATTTCTAATCTTATTAATTGTCTGTCCGATTTTTTTTATTAATATCGACTTCGAACGATAAATTAAAAATATGTAAGTTAAAAAGATTTTGTGTTAAAATTAATAATTGCTTCTATTTTATTTTTTTTATGTCCTGATTATTCCCTTTTTTGATTATAATTTTTAATTTTCTCTTAAGTTTATATTTCGGTATTCTGTTATTATTTTTTATTATTAAATATTATAAAAAATAATAATATCTTTACTTTTATTTCTATAGTTATGTTTGTTTTATTTAAGATTACTTTATTTTATAGTCGTAATTTTTTTTAATAAATTTTTTTTTAATATAATTATTATTTTTTAATAATTATTATTTTTTAATAATTATTATTTTTTAATAATTATTATTTTTTAATAATTATTATTTTTTAATAATTATTATTTATTTAACATGCTGCTTATATTATTCACTAATTGACAGTTTCACAGAAATTATAGTTTTGTATAACTTGACTAATATTGAATTACATATTTCTTAATATTTACATTTTAATTCTTATTTATTGCTTATATTTCTTAATATTAAAAATTTATTATAATCAATATTAAATATTGTTGTGTCAAATCATATTGTCTTTTTTAAAAATTTTAATGTTAAAATCGATTAAAATCAATTTTGTTTTAATTCATAATTTATTATTTTAATATTTATCAATTAATATATTTTTATTTCTTAATTTTACAAAATTTTCAATTTATTCAATTTTTTTTTTAAGTACGGATTGATTTCTATTTACACATTTTTTAAATTATTTATAATTGATACTATTTTTCAATTTAAATGGATTTTTACTACTTAAAAATTTACTATTTGGTTTTATATTATTATTTTTATTTTAAATTAATTTAATTTTAAATTTATGAAATAATACCTAATTCTTTACCTTACTTATTATGATTTTTTTTTGATCTTTTTTGTTTCGAATAATTACTGTTCCCATATATTAATTTTGTTTCTCTCTTTGATTTAATTTTTATTATAGTTTTCTTTTTTCTTTTTCTTTTTTTTTCTTTTCTTTTTTCTTTCTTTTACATTATAATAAAGTTGAAAGCTTTTATTACTCAAGTTATATATTATATAAAAAAAAATGAAAAACAAAATATTACTTTTTTCGAAATATTGTAAAATAATATTTCTGAAAATGTTTTCTTGTATTTATTTTTATTTTTTATATACGTATAACTACGGCGCCTGTTAACTTTTTGTAATCATCTTCAATAAAAAAAGCCTTTCTTAATAAATCCTTTCATATATAATAATGTTAAATTGAAACTGTCTTTTTTATATTATATAATTTTTAATATCACATGTCCTGATTATTCCCTTTTTTGATTATAATTTTTAATTTTCTCTTAAGTTTATATTTCGGTATTCTGTTATTATTTTTTATTATTAAATATTATAAAAAATAATAATATCTTTACTTTTATTTCTATAGTTATGTTTGTTTTATTTAAGATTACTTTATTTTATCGAATTTTTTTATAAATTTTTTTTTTAATATAATTATTATTTTTTAATAATTATTATTTTTTAATAATTATTATTTTTTAATAATTATTATTTTTTAATAATTATTATTTTTTAATAATTATTATTTATTTAACATGCTGCTTATATTATTCACTAATTGACAGTTTCACAGAAATTATAGTTTTGTATAACTTGACTAATATTGAATTACATATTTCTTAATATTTACATTTTAATTCTTATTTATTGCTTATATTTCTTAATATTAAAAATTTATTATAATCAATATTAAATATTGTTGTGTCAAATCATATTGTCTTTTTTAAAAATTTTAATGTTAAAATCGATTAAAATCAATTTTGTTTTAATTCATAATTTATTATTTTAATATTTATCAATTAATATATTTTTATTTCTTAATTTTACAAAATTTTCAATTTATTCAATTTTTTTTTTAAGTACGGATTGATTTCTATTTACACATTTTTTAAATTATTTATAATTGATACTATTTTTCAATTTAAATGGATTTTTACTACTTAAAAATTTACTATTTGGTTTTATATTATTATTTTTATTTTAAATTAATTTAATTTTAAATTTATGAAATAATACCTAATTCTTTACCTTACTTATTATGATTTTTTTTTGATCTTTTTTGTTTCGAATAATTACTGTTCCCATATATTAATTTTGTTTCTCTCTTTGATTTAATTTTTATTATAGTTTTCTTTTTTCTTTTTCTTTTTTTTTCTTTTCTTTTTTCTTTCTTTTACATTATAATAAAGTTGAAAGCTTTTATTACTCAAGTTATATATTATATAAAAAAAAATGAAAAACAAAATATTACTTTTTTCGAAATATTGTAAAATAATATTTCTGAAAATGTTTTCTTGTATTTATTTTTATTTTTTATATACGTATAACTACGGCGCCTGTTAACTTTTTGTAATCATCTTCAATAAAAAAAGCCTTTCTTAATAAATCCTTTCATATATAATAATGTTAAATTGAAACTGTCTTTTTTATATTATATAATTTTTAATATCACATTTTTTATTTTATATTTTTTTATATTATATTTTTTTATTATATTTTTTATATAATTTTTTTATATTATATTTTTTATATTTATTTTTTTATATTATATTTTTTTTTATTATATTTTTTTATATTATATTTTTTTATATTATATTTTTTTTATATTATATTTTTTTTTTATATTATATTTTTTTCATATATCATTTTTCAATTATTTCATTTTTTTGATATTATATTATTTTTTTATATTAAAAATTTTATATATTATATTTTTTTTGCATTATATTTTTTCATATTATTATATTTTATATTATATGTTTTATATTTTTTTTATATATTTTTGTATATTACATTTTTTTATATTGTATTTTTTTTATAAAACATTTCAATTTTTGTTTTTACTTTTATTTATATAATATATCAAAATATATATTATATATCAAAATGCACAATTTATAAAACTAACTTAAATTAAATATTTTTTTTTATAAATTTGTAAAGTTTTTTCAAGCAAACATATTTTAAAAAAAATATATATTTATTTTTAATAATTTTTAATTTGAAACTAAATAGCCACACACAATTTATTTTATTTATTTTTACTTTTATTTACAAAATGTTTAATGTCATGTATATAAAAATACCAGAAAGTGGAATTTATATATATTTATATAAATTTAATAATTATTAATTAAAAACAAAAATTGTTCTGAAATTGTAAACATTTAATTGATTTAAATAAAATAACTTTTAATTTATATTATAAAAAAACTAAAAATTGTGTTTTATTTACATATAAAATTTTTGTTTCGATGACAAATTTCTGAAAGTGAAACAAGGGTTTTCACTTTTTAGGATTTTAGTAGATTCTTAGATATTGCATAATATTTTGGCTCAGTTTTATGCATTATATAAATAAAACCTTTCTATTCACTTTCATACATATTTGCCTATATTGTGCATACTTAATTTTCATGTACATACATATATATTCTCCATTTTCTGGTATTCGTAGATTCTAGCATATATCACTTATTAAAAATCATGCTTTAAAATATAGTCTGTGATGTGTAATAATCATTTTGCTTTACCTTACAAAACTGCTTTCTTCATAAAATTCATTAAATCATCGTAAACGATTATGTCTGTTAGAAACTTTTATATTTTCAGAATTTTTTGAAATCATCAGTCAATGTATTGTCAGTATTAAACCTAGATCATTTGTTTCTTTGAATAAAAACTGCATAGAAAACTCAATGAATGTAGTAACCATGAACATATTATAAAAGCTATTTATTTGTATTTTTATTATAAAGTCCTTTATAGAACTTACTAATACTGTATTTAATTACAAGGTGCCATCCTGGAACTGCAACTATATTGAAACTCCTATAACTTTCGATCTGTGGAGAATACTGTCATACTTTTGGAACTGTGGTCTAAATGATGTCAGCTTTTCTATGAGAGTCCTTGCCCTGTGAATCTATACTATATCAATTTTTATAATTTTTATTTATAATAGTTATAATTATGACTGTTTTTATTATAAAACTTCTTCTATGAGATTAGGCTAGAAAGTTACTGTCCACATACATTAAAATTATAATTGCTGAAAGTGCTCTTTGCCAAAAGCACCTCCACTTAATGGCTTTACATTTGATTTACATTACATGCATCGGAATATACAATAAATATAGCTATTAGACAAGTGCGTGTATGCTATATAATATGACTAGATTGAATATTATCTATATAATAATATGTATTTATATTATCATATAAATATGGATGAAAAATAAAATAATCTGATTAGGAAATTTAAATCCTTTTAAATATACATCAAAAACAATAGAGTGATTTTTGATCTATTTTTTTAGTTTCATATAATTTTTAAATCATTTTTAGTTAAAATAGTTTTCCTATAACCGATTTCGACTGTGATTGTCATCATAGATTGGCCGAGAATGACAAGAATTCCAGAGTGAGATGGAATCCGTCATATGCATATCTGATTACTGTTATCAAAATCGTGACATCACCTGATGAAAATTGGAAACCTTTATAACTCTTCTATAGTTCTAATTTAAGGTTGTTCCGTTTAAGGTTGAAGTAAATCCACCTGTCTATCGTGTAAATTTTCGTTTAAAATATAGTTGAATTTTTGTCTACCGTTTCCGAGTACTTCAACACGCGTCCATAAATGTTTGCTCCAGCGCCTACTTCAATATAGGAACTATTCATATACAATGCTAATATATTCAGGTTTACATCGTTGGTTTGATATATACTATTTCAAATATTTTTATAACAGAGTTTTTATAACAGTTTTAAATTGTTTGTAAACAAAACTTTAAGTGTATGATGTCTTATGATATTAGAATTTCAGAAAGTTGCTTTACAGGAATATCAATATCGAAATTCTTGTGATTAAAGAATTGTCTGAATCGTGGTTGTGAATCATCATTCTTAGAATAATCCGCTTCGCTTGAGATTGGATATAAATGTGAGGAGGAGTGAGTTGGAATACGATCTTGGTAAATGTAGTTGGCCGTATTTGCATGGCTTCTGCAAAACTTACTTACGCTAGTTTTGGTATTCTATTATGTGTTCTAAACACCATCTATTGCAGAATTCTTCAAGACTGCTGTTTATAACTCTAACAATTGTTGTATGAGTCCACTGCAATAGTTTTAGTGTCAAGTCCAAATATTTCATTATGATAGATCTGCTTGTAATAAAAATATTGATTTTATTTTGAGCTATAACATATATAATAATTATTAGTAATAAATAATAATTATAATTAATTTAATGATTGTATAGTAGAAGTCGAAACTATTTGGTTCTTTGTCTTTCTTCCTAATTTGAATATAGCTGTTAGATTTATTTATGTTATTTTACGATGTTTCAACAAAATAAATATATCCAAATTAAGTTTCTTTCATGATTAAAACAGAGTTTAAAACTTTAAATAGAGGGACTTATTTCGGTACCAAACTTGGAATTTGGATACCAAAAAAATGGATTTACTTTATAATCTATGTTTGTCCAAATTGATAATTTTTCATTTTCTTTTTTTTTTTAACTAAGGTGTTGAGTGTGTACAGATACGTTATCCGCCGTACTTTCAATGTCTCAACTGTCTTCATCCCGTTAATGGTACTTGCAACGCAAACATAGATGAATGTAGTCTATACAAACCATGCGATGCGAGAGCAACTTGCATAAATCTATATCCTGGTTTTAGGTGTTCACCATGTCCATCAGGATTTATTGGAACACATGCATTGGGTGAGTTAAAACATAAAATTTAGATAGCATTAATAATGTATTGTTTTAATGACCAAAAAATTTTTAATAATAATTTTGTTTTTTGCGGGCTAATTGGTCAATAGTCAAAAAAACTTTTTAAATATTTTATAGGACCCTGATGATGACTCTAGATTATAGTCGAAATATCGGTTCAAATAAAAATTTTTTTAAAAAGTTTATTTAACTATTGACCAATTAGCCCGTAAAAAAATCAAGATATCATTAATTGCAATTCCTGATTGTATTTCATATTATACATATATGAAAAATGTGATTAAGAAAAATAATAAAATAATTATACAATATAATAATAAAATAATAAAATAAATTAAAATACTAATTAAATAATAAAAAAAAATTTTATATAATTTTAATTTCTTGTAGAATGCACTCTTAAGTGTTTAAAGGAATATTCTTATTAATTTCAATTATTTGTAGTAATGTACATTCAGTGAATATTTTTTTTACCGAATACATATCGTCGGTCTATACATGTCCCGTCAAGAATTATGACCAGACATAAGTGGGTGAAGTTCTTTCAACTAATAAAAAAATAAACATGATGTGTTTGAGAGTAATGTCCAATATCACCGAATATTCAAAATATTTTTATTATTTAAAACTATGGTAATCGTAGCATGCTTTGTATAATTGAACTCTTCCAGCTCTTCCAGTTACAAGCTGGGATTTGTAAGTAATTATAGTAAAATGGCGGACTGCCTATGGTTTTAGAAAATGAATCTTATCAATATTAATACATATAAGGTCAAAATTAAAATGCAACAGGATATTTTGCTTGTATATATATAAAACAATTTTGTTTTGCTCAAGGAATTTCAAGGAATATATACATATTCATCTACATGTCGAAAAATTTAGGTAGAATTTTTGCAAATTTAAGTTTTAAAAGTTAGGGAAGGTGAAGTGTACTGAAATCTCAAACTATGTCTTTTTTTAAAATTAAGTTATTTATCAATGATTTTTTATAAACTTAAGCTGTCAAGCGTGGAAAAAATTATATATACCATATAAAGCTAATAAATTTTAGGAATATTGATGTAACCTTAAATATCCAGTTTGCAATCAATTTTTTGAGAAGTACAGTGGTTTCCTAATCTTGTTAATATTAGACGTAAGGCGGTTAAGCTTTACTTCCAATTTTCCTTCTAAATATCCTTCTAGAAAGTTATTAATGGGAACATAGGACTATAAGATATAACTGCAACTAAATTCTGTCAGATACTATTCGCTTACTTTGACCCCAAAATGTAACAGCTCGGTTTCCATTTTACATTTCGATGCGTTGTGTGGGTGCCCAATTATTTGGATTGGGAACTATTTTCAAAAATTTTTAATGACATTTTCTAAAATCTATAAATTACTGTATGACTGTATGTGAGGATAACTGAATCAATCGAAAGCGAACTCCTAAAGGCTAAAGTTGATTCAAAAAGGTTAAATGTAAGCAATGTTCAAAGACCACCTGAAGCAGTGCTCGTTTGTAATATTTAGTCATCTTTCATTTAAAATGTGATTTGCTCATCAAATAATTAAACAATGGTCAAGACTCGTTATATTAAATTCCGACTTATGGTCAATTATTGTAACAATAACATATATTTTTCAAGCAATACACTCTTATTTTAAGTTGACATTTTGCTCTTCTAAAGCTTCAATTAATGGTCTGCATACATCTTCACTTGCCTATTTCAAATAAGGGAACCCAGAATAAAAGATGAAAATTACTTTATGTTTCTTATTGCATAATGAAGTACTTTATTGATGCTGTATTGGGCGCTTAGTCAGGACAAAGAAGATAGAAAACGTCTATAACGATTATAGTACATGTCACTGTGATGTATATTTCTATAGCCATTGTAGCAAGACGTTCGTCTTGTGGATGATTGAAGTAATCGAAAATGTAATTAAGCGCTGCGAACGTGGGCATTCTGTTCCTGTCAACTAGAAAAGACCAAGTTAGTGCTGAAAATAATTACAGATGTTTTTACACTTACACAGGCAATAAATTTATCTGAGATACAATGCAAAATCGAAAGTGATTTCTAATAGACAAGTACTGACATTTACTTTTTATTTATTTTTTATTTACAATTTAAATTGACAGATAATTGAAAAGTAATTTTTTTTTCAAAAGTAAATTTTTGAAATGAGTTTACACAAAAAATGGATCTTGAACTTTTGCATGTCGTGTTCCATTCTATTTGAAATCCTTTGTTCAAAATCTTTTTCCACCTATTTAACTTCGCCAAACTTTTGTTGTGCATAAAGCGGAATCTAAAATATATATAGTTGTCACTCTTTCATGAATTGTGATATATAGCCAACGCATTTAGTGTGTCATTGGTGACATACTTGGTTTTCTTTATTAAAATGAAAGAGAAAAAGCAGTCGAGCTAGGTATATAAGATTAGACACGTCAGAATAAAACACGAAGCTAATCGGCTATATTATATTATTAGTTAAGTATTTGTAAATTTGGCCAAAGCCAAAGTAAGTGCAATTTAATTTAATTAATCGTAGTTAAATCATTCTTCTTTAGGATATTACGCTGAGTATATGCCTCTAAACTATCAGAAGCAAACTTGTCATGATGTCGATGAATGTGCAACCGGCTTGTCCATATGCAAGGAAAACTCAGTCTGTGTCAATACAATTGTTAGTACCAAACTTCGCATCTTAATTCATAAGATAAATAATATTTGTATTATTGCGCTTAGGGTTCATATCAGTGCAAATGTCAGGATGGTTTTATTGCCAACGGCACATACGGCTGTATTTCTATGACGGATATGTGTCCAGATGGTACTATATGCGATCGTAATGCCAACTGTTATCTGATGGATGACTTCAAGTATACCTGCAAATGTAAAGTTGGTTGGGCTGGTACCGGTTTTTTGTGTGGACGTGATCGTGACATGGACGGTTGGGCTGATGAGCATCTACCATGCAATGATGTGCGTTGCCGTCGTGATAATTGTCCATATTTACCAAATTCTGGACAAGAAGATGCGGATAATGACGGTATTGGTGATGGTTGTGATGAGGATGCGGATGGTGACTTAGAAAAGAACGATAAAGATAACTGTCCATTTCAGTACAATATCGATCAGTTGGACTCTGATCATGACGGCATAGGAGATGCTTGTGATAATTGTCCATTTGTGCCCAACCGTAAACAGCTCGATACCGACAAGGATGGTATGGGTAATGACTGTGATGATGACATTGATAATGATACCATTGCGAATATGTATGACAATTGTCCAAGCGTGCAAAATCCAAATCAATCGGATGTAGATAACGATGGCATTGGTGATGCTTGTGATAACTGCCCTACTATACCAAATCCATCACAAGAGGACCGAGACAATGACTTAGTGGGTGATGCATGTGATAGTGATATTGATGGTGATGATGATGGTATACAGGACAGTGAGGATAATTGTCCATTTGTGCCAAATTCAGATCAGCTTGATACTGATGCTGATGGAAAGTAAATATGGAAACATGGTTGTTGTAAAATTATATTTATTAATTTCTGTTTGTTTTAAAGAGGTGATCCTTGTGACGATGATATTGATGGAGATGGTATACCAAATCATAGAGATAATTGTCCATTAGTTAAAAATGTTGATCAACTTGATTCAAATCGTAATTTGTTTTCATAAAATATTGTACTCGTAAAGAAAGTATTTAAATTTTATGTATTTAAACTTTTAGGTAATGGTAAAGGCGATGCTTGCGAGAACGACGAGGATGAAGACGGTTCACCAAATTTTGTAGATAATTGTCCTAATAACTCAATGATATATTCTACTGATTTTCGTGCTATACGGTCAGTGATACTTGATCCAGAAGGTGATGCGCAATTGGATCCCAATTGGGAAGTACATGCAAATGGTTCAGAGATTGTACAAACGCTTAATAGCGATCCAGGTTTAGTAGTTGGTCACGATGCTTTTGGAGGTGTTGATTTTGAAGGCACATTTTACGTGAATGATGATACCGATGATGATTATGTTGGTTTTATTTTTAGTTACCAAAGTAACCGTAAATTTTATGTTGTTATGTGGAAAAAAGGTGCACAAACATATTGGCAGCCAATACCATTCCGTGCCTCGGCGGAACCCGGTCTACAAATTAAGTTAGTAGATAGTATAACTGGTCCTGGTTCAATGCTTAGAAATAGTCTCTGGCATTCTGGTGATACACAAGACCAAGTAAAATTATTATGGCGAGATCCATTAAATGTTGGTTGGAAGGAGAAGACATCCTATCGTTGGAGATTGATGCATCGCCCAGCGATTGGTTTGATTCGGTTAAGGTGGGTTTTAGCTTTTATATGCATTAAATTTTATCATAATTTAAGCACACTTTAATATGTACATAATATGTATATATGTATGTTATTATATATATATATATATATATATATAATTCTTTTATATTTTTTATTATACAATTAAATTTAATTACTTTTAAGGTTTTGATTTTAAAAAATTAAATTAGTTTGTCATAATATTTATTACCATACGAACGAGATGTTGGTTACAATATAACGCATCGATGGTTTCTTAATAAGTGTTATATGGCAAAAGATTAAGAATTTTTCATTCACTGTCTATCCACCAATATGAAAACTAGATTCGTGAAGAGAGCTTAAGTGAATAAAACTTTAGACATTAATAACACCTTTTGTAAATATAAACAGATAGAATCGGTAAAACAATAAAATTGTATGACTACACCAGATAACTACAGAAAAAAAATTCAGATTTTAAATATGTAAGATAGGTTTTTCTATAAAAAGATGACTATGGTATTTACTATAACTATTTACTCAATAGGGACTATTGTATTTCATTTCGGACTGTAGTGATATGTAACAACAAAATTTTACTATTTTTACTCAATTAAATGTTTGTCTGACTATACAGTTGTTTTGGTTATTGCCAAATACCGATCACCAGTGATCTCTTAAAATTAATTCTTACGTTCAGTTATTCGTAAATAATTTTAATATATATTATAACAGACGTATAGAAATTATAGAAATCAATAGTTATATACCATTCTCATGGTATATATGAAAATATACACAAATTCCCTACAAAGATCTACAAATTCCCTTAGCTCACGCGAAATTTGACAATATAAGAAAAAAATACAATAAAAAGCTGACAGAACATGTTAACCCCTTAGCTAGGAACCTTGCACTTCTATTCACTTCTTCCCATCTAAAAAAACCTGACCGTGCAACCATTAATTAAAATTTAATAGATTTAAGTAAAAACCCCAGTCGTCTTTTTAGAAATCAGATAAAGCAATTAAAATCGCTTTCTTAGTAGACCTCTAAACATTCACTCCAATGAAATTTAACCTATTTAAATCAATAGTGAGGTTCGTGATATATGGTTTACTCATTTTATTGTATGTTTAGTTGAGCTAAAAATTGTAATATTCGGTAATTAGTGATAAGATTTCAAAACTTATTGTTAGTCTCACTGTGAGAGAAGTTACAATAAATAAATGTATAAGTATTTAAAAAAAATGTGTATATTTATTTTACATTATTATTTTGTACAGAATTAAATTATAATGTTATTATTTTATTATTGTTGTAGAATGTATGAAGGCGAAAAATTGGTATTAGATTCCAATAATGTTTACGACGCCACATTAAAAGGTGGTCGCTTGGGTGTCTTCTGCTTTTCGCAAGAACAGATCATCTGGTCGGATTTGGTTTACAAATGCAATAGTAAATACATCACACAATTTTTATATACACATTTATATAATAGGTTATAACCATAATATAATTTCAGATCGTGTGCCTTCTTTAATATACAATGAGCTGCCTCTCAACTTAAAAATGAAAGTGGAAATTGACAGATAAATTTTGCACCGCTATATTGAGTACTTAAAGTTAAACAATTTTTAAAAATACTTAGAATATTAATACTATTTAAACAATTTATTAAATATTATTAGTTATAATTTTTTCATGATTGTTTTTTTTTATTAATCACATTAAAAGACTTACAAATATACGCACATTGATAAATTCATACATATATGAAAATATATGCCATATAATTACCAAATTAATAAATTTTACATTTTTATATAAAATTTAAATTTAGTTGTTCTTTATTGTTAAAATCGTAAATTAAAACTATTTTGTATGGAGATAAACTAGTATTGAAGTTAATATATAATAGATGAATATAATATATATATACTCGCCCAATTGCATCAGGAATATTCGCATCTTCTTTTTATCAACTTCGTTTCCTTTTGCATTGATTTACTTGTCTAGTAAGTATCATCCCAATAATAGGTTACTTCATATAACCCGGAAATATTAAGAAAATTTTAAAAATTTGTCGTACACATAGTGTAATATGGTTTTTGTGTCCATTGCACAGAAGTTGAGAAAAATCACTACTATCCCATATATAACACTTTGTTCAATAATGTGTGTGATTGACACATAGATGGCGGCACTAATACTAAATAAATATTTTTTTTCGAAAGTGGTAACCTTTTTAGGCTTACTGTCAAAATCGGCAGTCTGCTGAGTGGCATGCAGCCGCCCAAAGCGACCGCCCAAAGCGACCAAAGACGCAGCAGTTGGCTGGCAAGGTTATGGCGTCTGTATTTTGGGATGCGCATGGAATAATATTCATCGACTATCTCCAGAAGGGGAAGACCATCAACAGCGACTATTATATAGCGTTATTGGAGCTTTTGAAAGACGAAATCGCAAAGAAATGGGCTCTGCACCCACCGTATTCTCCAGATTTGGCCCCCAGCGACTACTGGCTCTTCGCAGACCTCAAAAAGATGCTCCGTGGTAAGAGATTTGGCTCAAATGATGAAATAATCGCCGAAACTAACGCCTATTTTGAAGGCAAAGAAAAATCGTTTTACAAAGGCGGTATCGAAAGATTGCAAAAGCGTTGGTTGTATCTCCCTAAAAGGGGACTATGTTAATGAATTAAAACGAATTTTGGCAAAAAAATGTGTTTTAATTAGTTAGTCACACACATTATTGAACGAATTGCTATATCAAGCCATATGCTTCCATGAAACCTACTTGAGTCCATTTATTACAGCTGGTCAATAGATACCTATATGTTATAAAATAGCATGTAGTTTTTTGTCTTTTGTAGTTGTGTTCATCGAACGTTGCTAGTGATAGTCATAGAAACACGTGCTGATAATCTACATAAATATAAAGGTATTTAAAATATGGGTGATTTGGTGTAAAATATGGATTGGTATAATAAAATAAAAATAAAAAAAATATAAATGAATAAAAGATGTAGAGTGAGAAATTATACTTATAAACAATTGACTCATTTGCTTTTTCAAATTTAAAACTTCAAATACATCCAAGATAAGGAATTACAGCTCTGGATATTTTATTGCAACAAATAGTTAATGCCAGTGTCGAAAAGTTATCCAACTTTGTGACACAGCAATCTAATAGATTATTATATAATTATTATATATATAATATAATAGATTACAGATTTATCTAGCCGGTATTACGGCTAGAAAAACTCTTAATCTGCTCTACTGACAGAAATTCTAAACGACACAAGTTTCTTCTGTGCGTTATTAAAGCTGAACAGTCACAAAGAATATGCACACTAGTTTCCAAATCTGCAAGGCATAATCTGCATTTCGAATTAGCAGATAGTTGTAGTTTATAAAGATGCTATTTCAGTCCATAATGACCTGTGAAAAAACCCGTTAGCAACCTTAAACAACATTTTGAGAATTTAAGAATGTTTCTGTAGGAGTACGATTTTATTAGTGCTTTGCTTTGTCTAAGTCCTGAGAATTCTTCCCAGTACTCCAGCTGCATGTGATTTTCGTTCTCCTTAACGATTTGTTTTGTACTGGTCCAGTTTAATCCACAAAGAGATTGAGGGCCTGCGAAAGCAGCTTTTGATACAGTTTAGTAATAACTGCACTATTATTTCTGTTATTTTTATCTGTAGTAGTAGAATGAATTACAATATTTTATTAATATATTAATATATTTTGTTCCAGCTGTTGGGGAAGAACCTATATAATATCAACATCTATTTTGATTTTCTGGATATCCATAAGTTTATATTTCAATTTTGTCAGAATTTGGTGAAATCTCACGCATTATAAGACAAGAATCAAGAAAAAAGAGAATATTTGGTTTTTCAGAAAAAATATGTGTTGTGATAGTTATTGGTTTATTAGGACTTATTGTTTGAGTACATCATATATCAACAGTACCAAAAGGAATTAAAATTCTTAGTTGACTACTAATAGTTCACGGAACACAACTTAGTTATTCTTCTACCATTCTGGTAACTTTAGATTGTTTAGGAAGATTAAATAAGATTTCTAAGTTAAGTCTTCAATTGAAATTCTTTTATGTATGTTAATATTTATTATAAAGCATGTATTAGCAATAATAGTTCTAAACTTTTTTGAAAGCAATTTTAACTTATATATGTTGGAGTAAGTTTAATTTATTATTCTTAATATATATAGGATTAGCAGGTATATCTCTTCGATGATCTGATTATGCTGATATATATACTGTTTAAAATATTATCTCAACTATGGGATTAACAATTTTAATATTTCATTATTAAGAGTTATTTTTTTCTTATAAACAATATTATTAGAGAAAGAATACTTATATATCAACAAATAATATATTCAACTGATATGAATTCTTTCATTAAATAGTTCTAAGATTTGCATCTTACAGAACGTAGTTATCCAGGATTATCTTTATGAACAAATTTTAAATATGGCAGATTAGTGCAATTGATTTAAGCTTCATATATATAAAATAATTAACTTTATTTAAAAGTCTTCACACGATTAAATTACATCTTCAAAATACAGCTTCCTTCGCCTTTAATGGAACTATGTTATATACTTTTATTCATGATTACTCTTTAACTATTTTATTTATAATTAATTTTGTGGTAGGTTATTTAATATTTATACTATTTTTCAATAGATTAGATTAGATTATGCTGGCAGGCCATAAAGGCCACGCGTAGACCACTAGGGTCTATTGCGATACCAGATCAGAGTCTTGTTTTAGCGATTGTAAGCATCACTTAAGATGCGCGTTTCATTAGCAAAATTTATTAAGATTCCAACAGAAACCTCAGGTATGTACTCCAGTCCTGCAAAACTGAAAGCTCCCAAGTATTTTTGTCGAGTTCTCGAGAGAGCCGGGCAATTACACATCAGATGCTCTAGAGTTTCCTTTGCATCCGGCTCATTGCATTTTCTGCAAGCATCGTTGTGAATTAGGTTTAGTTTTCGGGCATGTGATGCAACCAAACAGTGACCTGTCAACACACCAATTAATGTTCTACAGTTCCTTCGGTTTAACGATATAACATTCTTGGTGTATTTTTCTTCATATATGTGCCTACACATAATTCTAGCTGTTCTACAGGTGGTTAAGTTCCGCCACCTTTCCTTTGCTCTCCTTATCATGTGCTCGTCCAGAAGTTTATGTATTTGTTTCAGAGGTCTAAGTACTTCGCTCGTTTGTTCCTCTGAAAGTTTTGCGCCATTTTTAGCAATAGCATCAACTGTCTCATTTCCCTCTATGCCTTTATGACCAGGAATCCAGTACATACAAAGTCTGCGGTTGCAGGCTAGTCTTGTTATAGCTTCCTTGCATTCTAGAACATTTTTGGATGATGACCAGTAAGATTTGATCGCCTTAATGGCTGCTTGGCTATCCACATAGAAATTTATGCAGTAGTTTCTGGTTTCATTCCTACACACAAGCTCCGCCGCTTTTTTAACAGCAAACACTTCTGCTTGGAATACACTGCAGTAGTTGGGAAGTTTAAACGGCATTCTTATGCTCAATTCCGCACAATATATGCCAGCTCCTACTCCCACTTCCATCTTTGAACCGTCTGTGAAAACATTTATGGTGTTGCATTTTGGCACCATGCCTTTTTTCCATCCTTCGTTTTCGATCACAGTTTTTATTGTTGCTCCGGGGTACATGACCGGAATCATATAATCCGAATCAAGAGTGGCGTTCTGATTTACAACGTTATGCCCGAAAGATCTTCGAGTAAGTTGCCCAGTAATGCGTAGCCGTTCGGCCGTTTTTGCCGCCATATTCTCGGCAAAGATATCAATTGGGGGTAAGTTTAGTATAGCTTCTAGAGCTGCCGTCGGAGTTGTTCTTATTGCACCGGTGATGCACATCGCCGCGTGTCTTTGGACCTTTTCCAGGGGTTTTATATATGTTTTCTTTTTCACAACTGTCCACCAAACTAATATACCGTAAAGTAATATAGGTCTAACTATAGCCGTGTAGCACCAGTACATAAGACCGGGTGAGAGACCCCATGTACTTCCCAGCATCCTTTTACATGCGTATAAAGCATTTGTTGCCTTCTTTACCCGTTCTTCTACATTAGGCTTCCACGTCAGTTTGCTATCCACAATTACTCCAAGGTATTTCGTTTGAGTTTTCAGTGGCAGAAGAGTTCCGTTCAAGTTAGGTGGCGTCCATGCTGTGACCTTGTACTTTCTTGTGAAAAGTATTGTGTCAGTTTTTTCTGCGTTTACGCTTAAGCCAGCGTCAGTCGCCCAGTTGTAAATTGATTTGAGAGCGTCGCTCATTAACGCACTTAGAGTAGATAGGCATCTCCCCGTTATAACTACTGCGATGTCGTCCGCATATGCAATTAGTTTCGGAGCTTTACCATCAAATTGTTTAAGAATTTTATTGATTACCAGTAACCAGAGAAGGGGTGAGAGAACGCCTCCCTGCGGGGTTCCTCTACATGTTTCCCTAGCTAGAGTTGTATCGTTCCATTCTGCCCTTATCTGTCTGCAGCTTAAAAGGCTTGCAATCCATTGATATGTGGCTGAGTCTATACCAACATCATCTAAGCTATTTAAAATAGCTTGCGTTGATACATTATTGAAAGCACCCGCAATATCCAGAAAAACTCCTAGAGCGTATTCTTTGTATTCTAAGGCCTTTTCAATATTAGAGACAAGTGTATGGAGAGCAGTCTCCGTGGATCTGCCCTTAGTATAAGCGTGTTGTGCTCTTGACAGAACTTCAGGAGCTAATTGGTCTCCTATATGTGCTGCTAGTATTTTTTCAAAAATTTTGAGAATAAAAGAGGTAAGACTAATTGGCCTATAATCTCTAGAGTAGAGGTGACCATTTTTTCCTGCTTTCGGAATAAAAATGACTCTTGCCACTCGCCAGTTTACGGGTACGTAATTATGCTTCAGGCATCCTCTAAAGATATTTATCAGCCATGTTTTTATTAGGTCCGAAGCCTTTTGTATCATAGCTGGATAAATACCATCAAGTCCAGGAGATTTGTATGAAGCGAATGATTTGATTGCCCATTCCAGCCTCATGTGAGTAACAATATTTTTTCCTGCGGAGCCTACCATATTCCTGACCGGTTCGGTATTGCTCACAATTGCACAGCCAGGAAAGTGAGTATTAGTAAGATCTACAAGTGATTCAGTGTTAGTTTTTGTCCATTCGCCGTTTTCCTTCCTGACAAGGTTAGGCATAGTTGGGTGTTTGGATAGTAGTTTTCTAAGCCTAGCTACCTCCACCGTCTTTTCTATACCTGCGCAAAAATCCTTCCAGGAGTTTTTTTTCGCATTTCGAATGTCTTTTTTGTATTGCTTAAGAATATCTCTGTACTCTTCCCAGATGACTTCACTTTCTGCTAGCTGAGCCAGCTTGAAGATTTCGCGAACGTAGCGTCTTTTTGATCCCAATTCCTTATTCCACCAAGGAGGTTGAGATCTACGTTTAGTACGCATTGGCGGGCACGCGATATGGTACGCTATAGTTAGGGCTCTGGTAAGTTGGTCAAGCTAGCTTCCAGATCCACGTAAGAATCAATTGTCGTAATTTTTTTCAGTCTCTGTTTCAGAATTTTTCGATAAAGGTCCCAATTCGTTTGTTTGGGATTTCTTACAACTTTTCTGCTTTTAAGGTACTGAAAATCTATTTGGAAACTAATATATTTGTGATCTGAAAATGATGGTTCGTTAAGAACCTTCCATTCTATCACCTGTACATTATCTTCCGTGAAGAGTGTTATATCTAGAACGTTTCTGGAGGTCGGTCCAACATAGGTCGGTTCCTCTCCTCTGTTAGCTACACTAAGCCTACTTTGTATTATGTAATTAAAAAGAGACTCACCTCTGTCATTGATGTCAGTGTTTCCCCAAAGCGTATGATGTGCGTTGGCGTCAGTACCGATTATCAGACTTTGCTCTCCTTCGCCAGCTAAATCTACCAGCCTTTGGAGTTCTTCTGATGGTATTTCTTCCTCATGTGGCATGTAGCAAGACGCGAGAAGTATGTTCCTATCGCCGTCAACCGCCACTACCGTTAGATCTTCTGTAGAGAGAGAGTTTACAATATAAGAATTAATACCTTTCTTTACTAGTATAACAGTTCTTACCCTTGTTACCCCATGTGGAATGAATGTGTTATAGTTTCGTGAATTTAACCCAGAGACCAGGTTGCCCGAGGCCAGCCATGGTTCCTGAATTAAAGCCACATCGTAGCCGCCCTCTTCTAGATTAAGGAGGAGCTCAGCTGAGGCAATTTTACTTCGGTGGAGGTTTATTTGTAGAATCTTTAGCATGAGCTTCCGATTCTTCCCCGGGGTTGGTTTCAGCACTCATCACACCCGGTTCCTCTCCTTCGCGAAGATTGAGGGACGAGCTTAGGATTTCTTCAATACCGAGATCCTCCTCGATTTCCTCCGCAGCGAGTGTATTAGAATTCCTATCGGTTGGGTGTCGTTTTTTGAGGCGAAGGTACACGCTCCCTACTCCCCACGACATCTTCCCGTATCGTGAATACAGAATGTCCTCGGCCATTTTGTTGATTAATAGGATGTAGTTTTGTCCCTCGCCTTCTTTAGCTGGCTTGAGGACCTTTAACACCTTCCAATCGCTTGTTGGCACATCCGGATTCTGTCGTTGTAAGAGACGAAGAGCATCCTCTGGCTTCACCACTCGAGGTATAAGAACCTTCGCTTTGGGCAAAGACGGGATATCTTTCCTGTCCACAACCTCCAAAGATGCCCCTTCCCATAGGCCTTGGAGCGTTTTAGCTGCCTCCCTTAACCAGTTCAGGGTAGAGTCGTCTTTACACTTCAGTAATTTCACTCCGTTGAACCAGCCGGCCCCGTCGAATGATGGCATTGGAGCTTCTGGTTCCGCGCTCATTTTGGCGAACATAGCATCTAATAGCTTCATTTCCACTATTTTCCACCTAGTTTCTACCATTTGACCCTGTGGATCACTGCGGTCGATAAGTGCCACAATCAAGCGTCGCTTGGCCACTATCTCCGCCATTGTTAGTTTAGATGTAGACGCTTCCTGTTCTTTTGGATCACTGGCTTTCGTCTTTTTTGTTGTTGTTGCTGCTTTAAATGTGGACGCTTCCGGCCTTTTAGTAGTATCGGCTTTCGTCCTTTTTGTAGCAGTTTTATGTTGAGGGACAGCCTCATCTTTACGCTTTTGCCTCTTTCCAGAAGGACCTTCGCTTTCCGTTGAGCGCTGCCTTTTACATGCCATATCTTCCTCGATTCGATTTGCAAATTTGGAATCCGAGGGTTCACACCACCTTTTACCTGCGAAAAAGGCTCGACCTTTCTCTATCTCCTCTTTCGCCCAGACTAGCCTGTCTTTCTCTTCCTTCGACAGATCATTCCGGTCTCCGAGGCGAGCACAGAGTTTTATCGCGGCCTTATATCTGGATTTGGCTTTCAACCCCTCCTTATTTGGTTCAGCCCTAGGCCTACGAATGGCCTTAGCAGCTTCCCCCGGAGAACGAAGAAGAGCTTCCTCCTCAATTGTGTTGACGCTAGCAACGCTCTCGTGATCCGAGTCTACAGGGACTATGGCATCACTGCGTTGCATTGAATTTTTGTTTTTTGGAATTGCGCCTTTGTGACCCAAGTCTACAGGAACTTTGGCATCACTGCGCTGTTGTTTGGCAGTAGTAGTACAACTACTGGAACCTGCTCCGATCCCAGCAGAGGTGCAGTCACTGGCGACGCGGCTTATAAAATCACCGCGCCCGCCGGTGGTAGCAACTGCGCCTCCCACCGACGTTTGGGCTGATATCCCAGCCCGATTTTCTTCATTCTTCAACTCCATTTGGTTTTTTATGGAAAAACCGACCATTTTGCATTTTTTGTCTACTGCCAGACACCTCAAAGTTATGACTAGGGAAGGGGCTCACCTGCACTGACCCTGTTGATACCACGACCACTACACATGAGACTCTTCCTTCATCTTAGCTAGACACATCACAGTCCTTGACAAGCCGCATCATGTTCCTCAGCTACAACATCCGAGAGCTTCATGACCCGAATTGCCAAAAAATGGATGATGCCCATTGCCCGGTCAGCACCCACGGGGAGGGTTTACAACGAGGATTTTCGCCGACCCTATTTTTCAATAAATATACTATTTTTGTCCGATTAAAAAGTTTTTCCAATCAATGAAAAAAAAAAAAAAATAATTCATGTTCGAGAATAGTATCCAATATAGATGGAGATTTAAAAAGATCTCAATATTTGAGTCTATAGTATTCGTAACACGCTTTGTATAATTGAACTCTTCCAGCTCTTTCAGTTACAAGCTGGGATTTGTAAATAATTATAGTAAAATGGTGGATTGCCTATGGTTTTAGAAAATGAATCTTATCAATATTAATACATATAAGGTCAAAATTAAAATGCAACAGGATATTTTGTTGCTTGTATATATATAAAACAATTGTGTTTTGCTCAAGGAATTTCAAGGAATATATACATATTCATCTACATGTCGAAAAATTTAGGCAGAATTTTTGCAAATTTATGTTTTAAAAGTTAGGGAAGGTGAAGTGTACTGAAATCTCAAACTATGTCTTTTTTTAAAATTAAGTTATTTATCAAAGATTTTTTATAAACTTAAGCTGTCAAGCGTGGAAAAAAATTATATATACCATATAAAGCTAATAAATTTTAGGAATATTGACGTAACCTTAAATATCCAGTTTGCAATCAATTTTTTGAGAAGTACAGTGGTTTCCTAATCTTGTTAATATTACACGTAAGGCGGTTAAGTTTTACTTCCAATTTTCCTTTCTAAATATCCTTCTAGAAAGTTATTAAAGGGAACATAGGGCTGTAAGATATAACTGCAACTAAATTCTGTCAGATACTATTCGCTTACTTTGACCACAAAATGTAGCAGCTCGGTTTCCATTTTACATTTCGTTGTGTTGTGTGGGTGCCCAGTTATTTGGATTGGGAACTATTTTCAAAAATTTTTAATGACATTTTCTGAAATCGATAAATTACTGTATGACTGTATGTGAGGATAACTGAATCAATCGAAAGCGAACTCCTAAAGGCTAAAGTTGATTCAAAAAGGTTAAATGTAAGCAATGTTCAAAGACCACTTGAAGCAGTGCTCGTTTGTAATATTTAGTCATCTTTCATGGAAAATGTGATTTGCTCATCAAATAATTAAACAATGGTCAAGACTCGTTATATTAAATTCCGACTTATGGTCAATTATTGTAACAATAACATATATTTTTTAAGCAGTATACTCTTATTTTAGGTTGACATTTTGGTATTCTAAAGCTTCAATTAATGGTCTGCATACATCTTCACTTGCCTATTTCAAATAAGGGAACCCAGAATAAAAGATGAAAATTACTCTATGTTTCTTATTGCATAATGAAGTACTTTATTGATGCTGTATTGAGCGTTTAGTCAGGACAAAGAAGATAGAAAACGTCTATAACGATTATAGTACATGTCACTGTTATGTATATTTCTATAGCCATTGTAGCAAGACGTTCGTCTTGTAGATGATTGAAGTAATCGAAAATGTAATTAAGCGCTGCGAATGTGGGCATTCTGTTCCTGTCAACTAGAAAAGACCAAGTTAGTGCTGAAAATAATTACAGAAGTTTTTACACTTACACAGGCAATAAATTTATCTGAGATACAATGTAAAATCGAAAGTGATTTCTAATAGACAAGTACTGACATTTACTTTTTATTTATTTTTTATTTACAATTTAAATTGACAGATAATTGAAAAGTAACTTTTACACAAAAAATGGATCTTGAACTTTTGCATGTCGTGTTCCATTCTATTTGAAATCCGTTGGTCAAAATCTTTTTCCACCTATTTAACTTCGCCAAACTTTTGTTGTGCATAAAGCGGAATCTAAGATATATATAGTTGTCACTCTTCCATGAATTGTAAAATATAGCCAACGCATTTAGTGTGTCATTGGTGACATACTTGGTTTTCTTTATTAAAATGAAAGAGAAAAAGCAGTCGAGCTAGGTATATAAGATTAGATACGTCAGAATAAAACACGAAGCCAATCGGCTATATTATATTATTAGTTAAGTATTTGTAAATTTGGCCAAAGCCAAAGTAAGTGCAATTTAATTTACTTAATTGTAGTTAAATCATTCTTCTTCAGGTTATTACGCTGAGTATATGCCTCTAAACTATCAGAAGCAAACTTGTCATGATGTCGATGAATGTGCAACCGGCTTGTCCATATGCAAGGAAAACTCAGTCTGTGTCAATACAATATTGAAAAAAAGGTTCTGCGCATATTGAATGCATTCATACAGTTTATGCCGACTTACTGAAGGACATCAACAACAATCTCAAGCAACAGGATGCCTCTATTAGTAAGTCAATAACGTTTGCCGCCGCTATGTTCACTCACAAAAACGACGTGGTTTCAAAGAGGAGGTAGAAATTTCGTTAGCTGTACTAGGTGTTACCTTCATTATAGACATGTTTTACAATCTGTGCGTTAAACGCAAAATCCACAAAAATACAGCTCCCAATAAAGGATCTCATTATGCAGCAATGAAATATTAAATCAACTAGCATCTTCTATTTTTCAATATATTATTTGGAAAAGCAAAGTATATATTCATATACTAATTAATACAAACCGCATTTAATGACGAAAGCGTTAATTTGAAATTAGAGAGTTTAACTTACCAAGATCTTGTCAATGTTGCAAGATCACATAACTGAAAATAGATCGCCATAAAAATAAAACTTCTTGAATGTTTTTTCTGGAGCTGTCAATACACCTAAATGATGAATTTCAACAACTTGTAATATACTGTGAGAGTATGTACATACTATCACTAAAAAAGTATGCATGATTGACCACATATTCAACAACGGACTCTACAAGGTATTGGTGCATCCAATTTCTCCTTGTGGTGCATCACTTAGACATATATTCTAACAAAATATATTGTTATGAATACATTTGAAAGCAATTAAAGCTCTATTAATCTCTCAATCTTTTCGTTATCCTCGTTACATCACCACACCGAAGAATAATGCTCTCAATAATGTATTGCAACAGCAAAATGTACTGGATATAATTAACTGAACATTTTTGACTGACTCATACAGTTGTTCAGATATTGTTAAAGACCCATCATAACTGGTCTCTAAAAGAAGCGCGTTGGTTTATTAGTTCGTATATAGTTTTATGTAGTTCAAATAGTGTCTCCAGGCGTAAAACTTGAACACGCCTATTTGTTAGCTCAGAGTGCCAAACAGAGATTCATGAATGATCGTTACTTACACTTCAATTTTTTTGTTTTGAATTCTTGCAAGACAGCAAACCAAAGCACTTGTCTTGCTTTTATAAGAACAGAACTATAGAACAGCAATTTCTATATACAAGTTAATTGTAATATTTGAAAACAAGTGAGCATACTTTTGTAGAGTTGAGAGCTACCGAAGCCAAACGGGACTTTTCCAGAAAAACAAATTGATGTCCCGATTGGCAGCAATCATGCGTTCGAATATTGTCGCATGATTATAAAAGTTATATATAAAAAGTTGATATTATTTAATTTTAATAAACGGAGAAATTAAATGAGTTAGTTGAATCAGGTTATTTTAAATAATTGCTAAAAATACCACGTCTACATCAATGACATGAAACATCAAAATAGGATTGAACATCAATTGAGTCTATTTAATAGTCTTAGAAAGCGGTAGCGAACGTGTCAGAGAAATCAACATTTAAGCGTGGTTTTTGGAACTCATAATAGAGTGGACACTCGTATAATACACAAAATAGTTTTGATTTGAATTTCTCAAAAAAATAGTGTTGAATTATTTGTCAAAAGTTTTTAAAAAAAAATTTGTCTGAATTCAGTTGTCAATTTTAATCAAATATAATCCAGAAGGTGAATACTACTGATTCTAAATTTCGGCTGCGAACTTATTCGTTAAAACTCTCTAAATTAAACGTTAAAATATATATAAGACTCACTTATATATATTGTGAGAAACAATATAATTGTGTCTCAGATAAACTTGTTGCCTGCGTAAGTATAAAAATTTGTGGAATAATTCCAATCAATGATTTTGTCTTACTTATTAAACAGAAACAAAATGTCTTTATTTGGTGAATCCTTCAACACTTTTGGTCTCTGGGATCGCCCACCACAGCACCGTAATTCCAAGAAGGAGTTGGAGGTAGCTAAAGCTGTACTTAAGGTTATCTTAATTCTTGATGTCGCTTATTATCTTTTTATTGAATGTGGTGTCCAGTCAAACTAGTGTTGATTAAATATATTATCTCAATATGTATTAATTAAATTCAGAAAGTAGTTGTAATTTTGCATTTTTAATTTGAGAAACGCAAATAGATATTTATATGTATTATTATTACGAGTAATAGGCTCAGAAGATCAAAATATATATTTATTTTTGGTGGAAGTAAATATTGATCGAAAGCAATTCCTCATATAAAATTTTCTTGAATCGTATTGGTGAATGGTTGTAGGACTATACGAAGCTAATCGCTTGGGCAAATTGATACTCTGTTTATCTATAACTCATTGCTACCTCCAGAATGAGTGCGGTTTATCCACTCGATAAACTCCGGGTGTACGAACAGTATACTTTACATTCCGCACCTGATTCAATGTGTCTGTTCCATCATACTCTGTGATTAAATAGACACAATTGATGTTAATTGTTGCAGAAATAAAAATATAGAAATTTTGAATACCATACTTTACGTTAAACTAAAACTTGATAAAATTATAATTAATATAAAAACAATTCTCATTCTTGATACGTTAATATAATATGGAACACAACCCAGGAACTTCCGTCCAATTCCCACTTGCCGGCCTTCCACATGGAGAAACTTATGGTGAATATGCGGGCACAACTTAATGCTATGATGAAAACTACCTATGATGCAGGCCGTGTTACAAAGTTTACTACCAACCCTAGCCAACCCTAAATGAGCACATCAACACATCACCTATAAATTGTGACGTGGAATGCCAATTCCATTACAAACAAGAAACATGAGGTCATCCAATTTCTGAAGCCAGCTATCTAACTTAAAATGTCCAACTATGCCATCTATAGGTCAGATAAAGTTTCAAGAAGAGGTAGAGGCACAGCCATTCTGATTAAATATAGTATTAAGCACCATGCTACAATAAACAAGCTACAAATGTTCGAAACAACATCCGTAGCGGTCGAAAGCCTGCTTGGAAATATAAATTTCGTATCAGTATACAGGCCGCCGAGCTTGCAAATGCTCCCAAATGAGCTCGAGGCTCTCCTCAACATCGACACACCAACCTTTCTAGCGGGCGACATGAACGCATACCATAGCAGCTGAGATGACAGTAGTTCAAACAGATATTGACGGGCTCGTCACAGAACATTTATGGCAGTTTTATGCGCCAGACGAGCCGACACATTATGGAAGCAGGACAGGCTACGTGAATGCCATTGGCTTGTCAAAGAATCTGAAATTGAACGTGCACATAGAGGTTCTTGATGAACTGACTCGGATCACAAACCAGTCCTTTTCATTCTCGAAAACTGCCCAGTAAACAACATGAATCCCACGTACATTACCATCGACTGGGGCGCATTTAAGAATCAGGTTGAACTAATAATAAATAAATTTAGCTTGCTAAATACTAAGCCCTTCTGCTCTCCTTCTAGTTTTGTTTACTAGAATGGGGGTTACATGCGCTTAACGAGGTTGCAATCTTTTACATCCACTCCTTAACATAGAGGTTTATTTAAAAAAAAATGCTTCTTCTTAATGCACTTTTTATATTTTTTAATAAAACAGGAAAAATGTTTTATTATTTAAAAAAATATGTTTTAAAGTTAATAAGTTTTTTTTTGTAAAACCGAATAATTGTGCCATTTACTCAAAATTTGTTAAGAATAACCTGACGTTTGCTTTGTAAAAATGATTTAAACAATTCTTTTTCATTGGCCGACTAATAATGGTTGTGATAATAGAGTAGAAATGATGTAAACTAATACGTGTAACATTATTTTACAAATTCAACGGTTTTTGACCTTATCACTTTCGATTTATCTAAAATTTACTTTATGAACCTATGGGGTTTTAGAAATTGCTTAATATATGTACATATGTACCACGCTACATATTGATTTAAGTTCAGTAGGTATATTGGCTTTGGATTTTATGAAGTTCTGTCCTACCAAAATTCACCTAATAATTTCATATACGTTTTAAATTTAAAAGACGGAATGAGGCTTAATGAAATAATATCTGGACTGTTTTCTTCATTTATATTCCACTGCAAGAGCAAACCAGAATACCGAGATCAGCTTCCATGATACTCTGTGACTGATTATCAGTGGGAAGATCATTTTCTGTTTATTTTATGTTAAATTATATTTTCATAGTTCATTCAAATATCAAATTGAGTTTTGGTTTCCATTGATATTGGTGTGTTATTTTATAGTATTGTTTGATTTCATTCCTGATAAAAAGATTACACCTAGATGGTTTTTGTCGAATGGTCGAATTTTGTTGAATTTGCGTTATATTGGTTTATACATTTATTATTGTTTGTATGTTTAAAATTTTCTTACTTTGTAAAAATTTCTTCCATTTGGATGATGCTGGTAGATGCTCTCCAAGAAGTTTATGCCAATTATTCTGCAACACTGTCTTGGTTGACGTCGAGGAAGATGGCTTTGCAGTGTACTGTAAGCATTGAAGTAACTAACATCGCATAGGATGTGAAAAGTAGTGAACTTTTACTTTATGCTATTAGATATCGAAGTTCTCTGATAATTGATGAAAGTCAAAAGTTAGCATTAAAACTTCGATTGGTAGCATTTTATTGTCATTATGTTTTTTGGCAGTCGAATATTTCAATAACTTTTTGAGCTTTTAGTGTCTTTATAATTTCTTATTCTGGAATTTTTTTAAGGCAGAATTGTTTTGAAGTTTACATATAATATGCAAACTAAATTACTCTGTTGATTTTGTCTTTAACGAGAAGTTAAAGACATACGTCTCAAAAATCACAGATTGGGATGATGTCTTTAATGATTTCGTACTAACCCCCCTTTTAGATCGAAGTTCTAAAAGTGGATTAATTTTAGTTACGGCTGGAACAGTTACATATTATAAAATTGGTGATATAGTTGTTGTAAGTTCCGAGTAATGTGATCTCATTCTTTGGTTTCTTGTGTGCTTTTTTGTACTTGGTCCATCTGCTAATAAGGCAAAACATTTATCCCCTAAAGGGGGTGTAGTTAGTAGCATTCTAATTAAATCCACAAGTCAATAATGACTCGGTAACAGAGATAAGTAGAGAGCGCCACAACGTTGAAAATAAAAATTTAAAAAACACGTATATTACTATTTTATTTCACTCTATAACCTATATGTAAACCTGCTCGTTACGAGTGACTGACGTATAAATATATATGTACTTTGCATTTTTAAATAATACATCATATCACAAAGATAAAAACTGTTTTAAAATTTCATTACTGCATAATGAGTTCCTTTATTGAAGGCTGTCTTTTACTTATTTCTGCGTTCAACGCACAGATAGTAAAACACGTCAGTAATGAAGATAACACCTAGTACAGCTAACGAAATTTCTACCTCCTTTTTGGAACCACGTTGTTTTTGTGAATGAGTCCAGCGACGGTAAACGTTAGTGAGTGTTGCTAATAGAGGCATTCTGTTCCTATTGGATTGAAAGACAAAATCAATTATGAGGATGATTCGAGAGGTTTGCATACTTACAAAGGATATCAATTTAATTGAAATATAATTATATTGTTTTTTTCGCAAAAAATGTTGGCTATTATTTAATTTGACTTTCAAATGTTTTTTTTATAAATAAATTTGGAAACGAATTTAAGTTCTATTGACATTTACTTAATAATACATTTTCAATTCAATTTTTAATTGACATATATATCCAAATAAATAGTTTAAATTAATTTTGAAAAGAAAACAACACTAAAGTATTAAACGAATTAAAATTGTTTGAATTTTTTTCGCACTTTCTTCAGTATTAGTTTCTCAGTTTTTTCCTTTAGTACCTGGCCCTTATACCTGACGCATAATTGGTAAAATTTAATTAAGAGAGTTTCATTATATATAGTGCAAAATTATCCGAAAAATTTTAGCGAGGATGAACCTACTAACTCTTATCTGGTATTCTATATGTCTGTTGAGGATATACTCTTAATCTAAATTTGTACACCAATCTACTGAACCATATCCATTTCGGTCATTGTCGGAGGCTTCCACTAATTGTTCGATTTTCAATGTTTGGTGTCTAATTATGCTTACAATCTAAGGTCTCTGCCAGCTGTCTATCATTGACGGAAGAGCGAGTTTTTTTTGAATGAGTTGTGATAACTCTAAGTTTTATATTTTGTTAGTAACATTTAGATTGAGGTCTTCATAATAGCCAGTGGTCAAAACATGAGTATGTTTTGTATTTTTTAATAATATTACTGATTGTGAAATTTCACTGAACCGGACTTTCTTTATTTCATTCCTTCAACGTCTTTGATTTCTGGAGAACACATTTTTATATAAAATTTGTCATAAATTGGAACTGAATTATATCAAATTAATTGAGTTCCTTAATAATTGACAGTATTAGATATAACATATATGAGTATGCGTCTAGTAAGAATAACTTGCAGCATTTAAAAAACCTTTCTCTCATTCATATAAATGGGTGAAAGTAAAGTGCATGTGATAAAATATTATCTGAACTGGATGTACTATGCACTCTTATTGTATGTATGAGTACAAACACTTCTTATAAGTGTTTTTCCATTTTTGTAACTATTTTGTTTAAGAGAAACTTATTAAATACAGCTTTGCCATAATATAATAAATAATGCTCAATTTCTTCATATTAACTAAAATTAATTAACATGACACTTAAAATATTTTCAAAAAACAGTTAGCATCTAATATCAAATAAAAAAATGATTTAAAAATTCTGCTATTAGGTTTTTATTTTCTATTCAAAAATATAATAAAATTTTATCGCTTATTGATCCAAAAAAAAAATTATTAAAAAGTTATGAAGAAAATTAGTAAGACAAAGACTGTCAGAATACATTTCTAGTGTGTAGTAACAAAGTCCTCAAATGGGTCGACTGCGGTCTCGAATTCAATGACTTCACTCTTAACGTATTCCTAACCCTTCAAAAGAGAGACGATAAGTATTATAAGCCCTTTGATAATAGTTAAATATTAAGTCAAGTTCTACTTTCACCAAGTTTTGGCGTCCCTTTTGAGGATCATCACTATCTATGAAAACAATTAAATTTTATTTATTAATCTTTTTAAATGACTTCAGTCTATGAAGGTTACTTCTGCTTGGCATTCCACTAAGTAATAAGTAATAAGTTGCATATTTAAACAAATATATATAAATATATCGATTATCGATTTAGTAACGGATTTTTATAAAAAAGAGACTAATAATGTCTTTATTAATACAAAAAAAAACTGAATGAGATTTTTAAAAATAATGAAAACTTTTTATATTCAGTTATATAGAATAATAATCTATTAAATTTTTTCCACATTACTCTGGTTATAAGATTTTTTTAAGAGTATTTGTAAACTGAACTCGAAAACCTTTTTTTTAAGAGTTGTTTATAATTGTTACCATAGAAGTTGATTATAAATTGCAATATCTCCGATAACGGCCATGGGGGTTTTTAATCATCGGTTATAATTCCAACTGAATTATATTTAATTCGTTCCAAAATAATATATGTTATCTGAAATATGTATAGGCTCATGATTCTAATTATCTTCTAAGATCTAAAGACACAGAAAAATTGCAACTTACTGATCCTTTGCGATTTAGTGATGCATTTGTATTTGTGCTAACTAATATAGCGCTGTGATATTTTATCATAATACATTTTTATATTTGACTTATAAGGTTGTAGACCATGCCAAATGTGATATATAGAAGGTTGTCTCTCAGCCATTGTTGGTTGCTAAGTGCTTTATGTGACTATAGAGAATCTTGTTAAAACCTCCTTTCTTCCACTAAAATGTTTTGTGGCCTACGGCTTCAGGAGACCTTTCAAAAGTTTTCACGTTAGACCCTGAAATATTATCACCCGATGATCATCACTCATTTCGTACTTGAGATTATTTTCACATATTCGATTCATTGTTGTTATGATATACGTATATTTAGCCGAACAGCTACAGATACGGTTTCCTTTCAAACACCAATCAATGCAGTAGTAATTTGCAGGTTTTAGTACTACTTGGATAGCACTTAAATTCATTTTCAGATGAGATAGAACTTTTTGACTAGTGTCGTCTTTGATGAATATTAGTTATGAGTATATAATCATTTGCACTGGATTTCGAAAAACGTTTATAAACTTCTGAAATCCTACGTAATTATTTGAAAATATATGGCTAGGCACAAATCTTTTACTTAACAAGAGTACGATATTAACGGTAGAGTTTCTTGGGCCGTTTCTACACTTAATATACACAATACCCACAACACCCTAATCATTTGCTGACGACTTTCGCTGTGTCATAATGTTTTTATCAGTATCCACAGTGACTGCTCCATAGTATTACAAAATTTATCCAGGTATCTTGATTTGATTAAAATCAAATAGAGCTAAATAGCTTGGTAAATAGAGAATCAAGGTAAATTGAGCTAAATGCGTTCAAGTTACTTTTACTCAAGTAACTTCAAGTTAAAATCAAGAATGTGGATATAGCTCAATCATATTCTGTGAAATATTTTAGAGCTCATCTAAATAGAAGGCTCACGTGGACAAATCGTAATGAAGCCAACAGATGTCAATTAATTCTTAAATATAAAGAATCGTATTGGCTACTAAACCGCAGTCACGATAACAAATTGTTGATTTACAAATCAATATTAAAGCCAATTTGGATTTATGATATAGAACTGTGGTGTTCAACGTGTCACACAATAATGGAAATAATCCAGAGAGTGTAAAATAAACTTCTCCGCGGTATGTCAAAAACAAAAACCTACTTAATGATCTACATCTAACAACTGTTGAAGAAATTATTCGTCAATATACATCTAAGTTCCGAGACTCAAGTCGCATCTAAATTCTTAGGTATGACATTTATCTTCTTAAAAGAAAATCATTGATAAACATGAATACCCCAGCTCAATAGCATATATGTTAGTTTTTTATGATTCGCACAATTATTATCCATTTCTATTTAGAAAGATTCAATTAATAAACAAATGAAGAAAAAAAAAATAAGTTTGTTTGTTAGAATATCGGCACATTAGGATCTCACAGTTAATCTACATCAGTAGTTCCCAACCACTGAGATGGTTAAAGATGGTCCGTGAATCAAATTTAAAAGATATGGATGGTTAGCTTGTAGTTTACCTACTGAGCGCTCACTTATTAGAAAATTAGCACAAAAAATTTCCAAGCCTATTTCCAAGCCTATACCTATTTTATAGGTTGTATATAGTAATGTACTATGCACTTATAGAATATCAGAGATGCATAAAGAATATTACAATAATCACACACTTTATTATTCTTAAACATTGTGGTCCTTATTAAAAACAAAAATATTATAGTGGTCTTTGGTCAAAAAAAGTTGGGAGCGACTGATCTAGATGAATGGATTGATATTTCAGCGAAAAAAATTTTTGAAGATTAGTTTGAAAAGTTTTTGAGATTTTTTCAAAGTAAATTTCAAAGACATTTCTGTTTTTCAAAAAAAAGCCAGTTTTTTTTTTTAAGTTATCTTATAATTTTGATGCAAATGCATAATAAATAACTGTCTGTAGAAATCATGGGAGTGATCGATAAATTTATGTTTAGCCGTGTGCGAGTTCGAGTAAATTAATGGCAAATTGAGGGAAATAGTCAACTATGTCGGTATGGCAGCGAATGTTGGTATTTACCAAAATTTTGAGTAGGGTAAACTAGATAAAAATTAAGTAAATTAGATGTTACCATTGTAAAAATTTTAAAAGGTGTTTAATTTATAAATAAATAAATTTGAAAACTTTTAACCAAAAATAATAAATAAGTGCAATAAATAAATAAATAAATATTTACATAAATGCAGTGCAAAAAGTCCCTAGGACATTTCAATTTACTTTACCTCAATTTACTCGAACTCGCACACGACCACAATTCACAATTTACAATTTAAAATCTAGAGCAAAAAGAATTTTTGTTTTTTTTTTAAGTTTTATTTTATTTTTTTTTTAATTTTTATATTTAGTGTTATTTTTACATAAACTACGCAACTAGACATTGTATAACTTTTTGAAAACATATTTTAAATTTTTGTTTTAATTATAATTATAATTACTCATTAATTATATTTATGTATATATTTTAGTGCTGCTTTGACAAAACCTAATAATATAACAAATATTATTAATTTTTATTGTCTTTAATTGATCTTAGACTATTAAGTATTTACAAGTTCTTAGTTTGAACTTCATACGCTGATTAATTATTACAAACGGAATTGTTTTTATTTTAAATTTTTGTTATTTAAATAAATTTGTGATACTTTTTCATTGATTCTATTATTATTATTTTTATAGTTGATTTGATTGAAGATGTTTTTTATGTGTCATTTTCATTACAAATGTTTTGCAGTTTGCATGTAAAACTCAATAACTTTGCATATCAAAAGTATACGTCTTTTATCGTTATCGATATATGGGTAAATTTTTTTCATTTTTTTCTTCTTTGAACACCTAAACATGAAGCGCTTACAGAGTATTTATTTTATTTTTCATTTATTAAACAATAAAATTTTGTTATGTTATTGTTAAGTAAACCACGAAATTTGTTGGCATTAATTTTTAAACTAAGGCAATGCATTATCGATATTTTACCGATATTTTAAAGATGAGCAGCCAAATACAAACCACTCGTACAGTTACTCTTAACAATACAATATCTATTCTTTTCAATAACCAATTTAAGCTTCAGTAATGGTTTTGTATATGTATGTATATATGTATATATTATTCTTTTTACATAAACTTTTCGTAGGCCAATAGTCACATATGTATATGATTCAAAATACTTTTAAATTGATAAACAATAATATCGAGATGTATTTCAAGCAAATATCGCTCCGAAAAAATTATTATGAAGGCCAATAAAAGAATGCCTAAAAGACGGCAATAAGAAATTTCGCATAATTTTACACTTAAAAAAATTTTATTTAAAAAACATTATAATTTTACAAATAAATCGATAGATTTGTTTATCGATACAACAAACATTACATATGTAATAAAATTTTAAAACTAAAATTAAAATTAAAATAAAAACTAAAAATGCCACAAATCAACACAAGAAGTGTACGTCTTTTTAATTTAAAATATCATTTCCATGAAAAATTTCTAAAAATATCTGCGCTTTCAGCGGTTTTTTTGTATCGTTTGATTTTTATTTTTATTTTTGTAATTTTATTTCAAATTTGTCTCAGATGCAATGCAGTTTCCCCGCATTCATGTATTTTGTAAGAATTGCCGTTCAATATATATATTTTTTGATTTTATTTAATATTATTTTGACTCTCGTCTGTTGTAAATAATGTAATCCGTACAATTTTTCACATTGCAAATAACGATATTAGATGCAAATGTTTGTATGTGTATGTATGTATATTACTTGGAAGTTTTATTGGTTTTGTTGTCACTATTATTATAATTTGTTGTGTTTTTTGTAATTTATGCTACATAAAATAAATTCGGTTATCAAATGCACTTTTGAAGCGCAAAAATATTTAGAATTTTTTTTTAATCAAAATGCAAGCACACAGATTCCAATCCGCACACTCGCGTCAGTTATTTGTCGTAACGATTATGAGCTAAAAACTTTGGATTGGGATGAGTTGCTGAAATCGATATTTATTCCTTTGTATCATGTCCATTTGCACCAAGTTCCAGTAATTCATGTGGCTCGGCATTTAACTGTAATTATAAAAAAAAATTAAACATAAATTAGAGAGATAATATATATATGACACAATGTCTCTTGAGTAATAATAATATATAGCAGAACAGCAATTCTAAGTGCTAAAGTGTCAGCTATTAAATATGTTTAATAATATGAGAATAAATATTTAATTTATTTGAGAAAATACTGTTATCAAGACTAGAACCGATTCTCCATAAAGAAAAACATATTCCTGATCATCAATTCGGCTACGAAAAAAATATTCTACAAGTTCACAGAGTTGTGGATAAAATAACAAGCGATATTGACAATTTTCCACAGCTATATATCTAAACGTGGCAAAGACGTTCGGTAGCGTTTGGCAACCAAACTACTCCCAACTACTTCCATCTGTTTTGCTGTGTGAATCTGAGATTTGGTATGTGACTACAGCTATCACTTCTAAGTTGTAAATGTTTGTAAATAGATCTCTACAAACTATTATTAATGAATACCTCATGACAGAAACAAACCAACAGCCAATAAAGAAATAATTCAGAGGAAATATGGATGGCTTGGGCATACTCTTTGCAAGCCAAACACCAAAATTGTACATGCTGTGCTCGAGTGTAATCCGCAGGGAAGAAGAAACCCCTGTCGGCTGAGAACAACATACAGAAGAATCATCAGTAAAGAAACGAGTAAATCATTTAGAGCTCATAAAAACTCATAAAAGCAAATCATCAGAGCAATAGCGCGCGATCGTCGTAATTAGTAATCTATTGTGATAAGACTAAGTTCATAATGTTATTCCTGAATATGTAAATAAAAATAATAATAATACTTCCAACAAACTTTTATTTCATACTATAGAGCTATTTACAAAGTAGATACTTTTATGTGAAGTATAAAGACTCCATCTCCGAACTTAAACAAATGAAAGCTGGTATACTGCAAGGTAGCCTATTAGGTTCATTACACTACTTGCTACACACGGCTGATATCCCAATACCTTCTGATTCTCAAAATTAGAATGTTGATAATAACATTTGCAGACGATACAGCACTAATTGCAGCTAATAAAAATTTTAATAAATCCGCAGACAATTTGCAGAATTACTTAAACGCAATGCTTGATTAGTAAATGAAACGTAGAAGAGTACCACAGATGTCTAGTCTAAAATACAAATTTATCGATTTATTTCGTTATGTGGACTTACACAAACTAATTCAGAGATAATTATTCCAAGCTGCTATACGTGTGTACAGCCAACACAGTACAATAATATAGTGACTCTTTGGCTAGCACATATTGTAGGGATAAGATATTTTTAGATTGTGGTATACTTTCAGGTTTAGTTGTTTTTATATTTTTAAAGAATTGCATAGCATACTTTTAGTTAGACTGCCCTCCATAAAGAAGACTTTCTAAACAAGCTGCCTATTTAGATTGTTTTATAAAGCTAAAATTGATAACTAATGGTAAACCACTAATTTTCATATAGTAGAAAAAAATAAAACCCTAAGGACTTAAATAAAACAAAATACTAGATTGGATAATATATGGATTAATGAATTAATTGCAGTACTTCCAAAAAAAGTACAGATCGCAGTTGCCTTGCTGGTTTTGTAGATTTGTACTTTAGAATGATATAATTTTTTTTTATTTCTCCCAAAATAACACTTATAAAAATTGTAAATATATTAGGTAGGAAAGTCTCAGCAAAAGGATTCAACTGATTTATAAATAAATTACTACAAAATAACTTTTCCAAATCAATCTCCAAAGTAAATTTAGGAGATAATTTAATTTGAGGATATTTGATCCATATCACTGAATATACCTATATGTAATCCCTATAGAAAAAATTTAGTAATTTGGTTACCCTTAATTCAGTAAGAGACCAAATTGCTAAACATACTTACATGTGATACCCACAGAAAAAAAAGGTTTAATCTGATTTTCATTACTTAACATAAAGCAATATATTTTAAAAATGTGGTTCATCTATAATCTAATAAACTCTTTTCGGCTTTAAAATAGAAATTATCTGATAATCACTCATCCAAAAATATTCAACGAAAATATTCTAATAAACCTAAACTCCTTGAAACACTATGCTGAACTTATATTTAGCCACAGGTGGAAAATATTTGGACATCAAAGGGAGTACATACGTTATAAAATTTACTAGGAGCAAATATTTAACATTTTTTGATATCTGATTTCAAAAACTATAAAACTAACAATTTAAACTATTAATGATTATATCATATAAAAACTTACTCTGTCTACTTTTTGTAAATCCTTCTTTGATAAGTGATTGACTAAAATTGTACCCAATGCATCGCACATGACATTGATGGTAGTTCGGAATCGATCACTACAAAAAAAATTGTACATACATCAGATATTCAAAACAATTAAAAATTATTTTAGGACGTTGACTTACAGCAACCAATCAACAGCAATAATGAGTGACACATCCTTTGGTTCCAAGCCGACTGTATCGAGAACCATCACCATAGTCACAAGACCTGCTTGAGGAATGCCAGCAGCACCAATGGAGGCTGCAGTAGCTGTTATGCTTACCGCTACAATGGTGCCGAATGAATAGTTTATATTTCTTACTTGAGCAATGAAAAGTGCAGCAACGGCTTCATAAAGTGCAGTACCGTCCATATTTATTGTAGCACCGACAGGAATAACAAATCTGGTAACACGTGGATCGATACCAAGATTATCTAAACATTTAATTGTTAAAGGCATTGTAGCTGAACTAGAACCAGTACCAAATGCTGTGGCCAACACCTGACTGAGTTTTGCAAAATAACGATAGGGTAAATGTCTTGTACCCAAAAAGAAGATTACGGCAATGGTACCTGCAAGTTAAAGATGTAGTTGTAGTTGTAGCGATTATTTTATATCAGTTTAATTACCGAAACCATGTAGGAATAAGCCTAACATCACAGTCATAAAGTACCAGCCCAATGACTGCACTGTAGAAGCTATGGAGTCCATTTCAATAATTTTGGCAGCAATAAGAAATCCAACTCCAAGTGGAGAGATCCTGTAATGAAGTAACTTGGAAATATCAATAACGTGTTTTTGTATGTAATAAAAAATGTAAGTACTTAAAATATATAAATTTATTGATAACCAACATAGCCTTTAAATAAAATACAAGTAGGTTCACAAAGCAGTTCTACTTTTGAAAGTAAGTTATAAAAAGTTGATGATAGAAATTAGATAAAACGTTTAAAATAAAACTTATCATACTTAGTGGCTAACATGTACTCATATATATTATATATTATTATAACAATGCTATAAAATATGTTCATGGACTCACCAAATAATCCATGAAGTAATTGTCATCATAGCTTCACTGAGTGTTGTAAAGAAGTCCTGTAACAGTTGACCCTTCTCGCGCATTCTGCCAATGGTGGTACCCAAAATAACACTGAACATAACCAAACCTAAAACATTGGAACCTTCTCTTTGTGCACCCTTGAAATCCCATTCTTCCATGGGTACTACAATGAAAAAACAGTTGAATGTTATGATATTAATCAATTTTTGGATCAGCATGAACTAATCAACTTTTAACTTACATGGTGGCGATATGGTCGTATTTTCAAAGATTTCTGTCCGATACTGGAAAGTGGGAATAAAAATATTGTTATTGTATCAACTATAAGACCCTTTCTAAAAAATATATAATGGATCTTATAATGATTGTATGGACGTATGAATAATTATCTTGAATAAAGTTAACACAAGCATTTCAATTGTACATTATGTTCTTTAAAAAGCAAAAAGTCACAAGATTGAATTTAAACGCGGTGTAACTAATCGACATTGACTGTAGAAGTAAAGTATATCATAATTAACAATTATAATACATAGATAAAATAAGTTTCGACTTTGCTATCAGTGAACAGATCCAACTTTCATCTAGAAAAGCAACTTATTATACACAATGAATAAAGACCAGAAAATAACTCAGTCTTGCCAAGGAATCTATGGCATCTATGGAGAGAATAAAATCATTACGAGAGAATAAAGTTTTGTCGAATATTTTAACACGTCCCTCTTCATACTCAAATATTCAAATATACAAAAATGTATTTAATGATGATTTCTGTAGACTGTGTGGACTATGAAAGAAAAGAACTACGTACTACGGCGACTAAATAGACTTTCTATAATGTTTTACTTTATCTTTGCTGTATTTTACAAAAGTTAAAAAAGTATCTATCTCAGCTCATCAACAATATTGAATTTAAACGTCTCCTATTTCTTCGTTCTACACTTTACATCACATATTCGAATATAAAAATGAAGCGGTAAGAGATATATATCACAGTTTATTAATGCTTAATAGTCGTTAAATATATTAATAATCATTATTATTATCTTAAACTACTAATGAAGCGATTTCAACAAAAATATATAGAAGGTTTTTAAATAAAGAATTAGAATTAAAAGACAATATAGACCATAAAATAATAATTGACCTAATAATGCGGCCTTTCTAACTATCTCATTTCGCCGTACGTCTCTATGTGTAAAATCCCAGAACAGAATACATGCAGGTTTCTTTCGACTTCCAGTGAGTCAATAGTTGTCCTCTATTTGAGTAAGTTTCTAAAAGAGGTAATACGTAAAGATTAATTTTCACGTTTATTGCTGTATATCCGGCGTGAAGCTTTACTGCATTTTGAACTTGAAACACTTCTATTTGGAAAATGCTTCAGTAGTCCGGTATAGATGTCTGATATAATATTGGGCTATTGATTACAGTTTTTGCTTTCACTGCAATCCTACTTCGTGGCGAAATTGAATGTATAGAAAAGTCTCAGATCTTTCATTCATTCTTCTGTTTCTGTAAATACAGATTTGCATAATCTGTTCTAAATGTTTGAGCAAACCCAATAGAAGATTGAGTATTGTTATTTAGCTATGATTGATTAATGACTGTTAACTAAATTGCCTACTTAAAATAATTGGCGAATCAGAAATGGCAATTGTAAAGTAAAAGTAGGTTTTATGAACTCTACTGTATAATAAAGTGTTCATAAACTTGATTTATTACTCTTTTTTGTAATTTATCTAGAACACTGTTAATTACTCTTATTTCACATTTACACTAAATTAATTAGAACGAACCCCGATGGATAAAGAAAGTGTCATTCTCCTGTGTTGTTATGGCTTAAAATATATTTTTTCGTTCCAGATAAGCCAAAAAAGTATTTATCTAAAATACAGTTTCGTCCTGGTTGCCAAAGTTGGAAAATCATAGACTCAACACTTGATTGTTTCACTATCGTCTTACTTTCCACAATTTATATAATGAGGTTTCAAAATAAATACACAATTAAACTCCTTGAGTTCCTATACACAAGTAGCCTTGAAGAACTGCAGTTAATTTAACAATATTGCCATGATTCATGCTTATACATATATAGGATCTTATTACGTTAAGCCCAAATGGATTAATATATTACAAAAGTTATGAGTGATTTATATTCATTATTAAGTACCTAAATAGAGCATAAATTCCCGATTCTTTTATTTAGCGGGCTTAAAGAGAAAGTAGACAATCATCCCTAGCAAAATATAAAGAAAAGAAAGATATAGATAGTGGTGTAGAGTTTATGTACTTGGGATTGTTTGCTAATTATGTTATCTTAAGTAGTTTTCTATTCCCATGAAAAACTGTGATAGTTTATATCACAGATATTTGATATCTTGTTGATAACGTAGCATTAACGTTGAGCTGATTAGTCTATATATACGCGCAGTATATGTGCACATTAATATCACTTTCTATTAACTATTTAGGTATTAATGAAATAAAAAAATATTAAAGATTTATGTTAAAGTTGAGGTGTTAAATTTAAGTCTGAAACTTTAATTATAATAAAGTAAACAATCATTCTTCGCAAGATCTTTACGTACTCTACGAATTGGCGACGACTACCGTATAGGAAAGAACCACGAACTGTACGAGCTTTATCACAACATTGATATAATTCTGCGAATGAATTTTATAACTGATGTTTGGCTATCTATGATAATTGTAACCTTGTAGTTTTCTTTGATCCAATATTCTCTAACAATCATTGATTTAATATTGACGTTTGGGTATCTACGGTAATATTAACCTTTTACTTTTCCTTGATTAGCCCTGTAATTACTTACTTACTTAGTTGGCCATACCAGACATAAGTCGTACTTGGCCGCATCAGGTAGCCTATATAATCCTATAGATTAGCCTTAAAGGAACCCTAAAAACCTTAACAGTAACCTTAGAAACCAGAGCTGAAATGATTTATATTTTCGCTTAATGTCTTCTCTAATTGTAAGTCATTTGTGAAAATTAAGATATCATAATTTGCTTAAAGGCTTATTATTTTCCATTGATTTCATGTTGGAACTATATTATGACTGCTGAAAAATATATAGGGTTCAAAGCAGTCTTATATTAGCTAATAATTCAGTACTGCATTATTCAATGCTTAAGTCTGTTGCTTTAGCCTCACAGTGATGTTGCAAACATATAAGATGTATCATCAAACTTAACGTATACGTAGAGCACATTCTTAAGCTTGATGAAGCCAATACTATATGCTCTTTCAATTATCTGAATTTAGAGTAATCATAATATTTTTTCCATATAGTAAAAACAATACGAATTTTCAGAAGTAACAAGTTGCCTTTGTCATCTTCGCTCACGCAATACATGGAATTCAATTAAAATTTTGTAATTGATTACAGCAACTGAAATTGCATTATCATTTATGTGTAATTTATGCAGAACAGCAGCTTGTCACTGTGATTTAATTTGTGAAATGATACTAAACTGTATCTCCATAAGTGCACTTTTCATACTACAACAGCTTACAATGATTCAATTTAGATGTAAAAATTCCACTGGAATTTTAAATAGAAAATAGACAACCATTTGTCTCTCTCTCCTCTTTTGTCTATATCTACATGTGTTTGATTGCTGAAATATGATTGTGTCAAATTAGAGAATGGCTAACAATAGACCTAACAGTTGAATTTCGCAATTGAATACAATGAAAATTGCTGAATTCACTACGAGCCTAACTAACTCTCCAGATTTGTCAAATACTATTACGCGAGTACTCCAAACGTGTTGAATAGATTACAATAAGTAGTCAGTGGTAAGGTAATGTATATTGAGTACTAAAATATCCCAGGAAATTACGCACTTACTGAACGCAACTGAAGTACTAGAGATCTATGAAGCCAAACCACTCGACAGATCACACTTAAACATCACAATGGCACAATGGCAGAGCACAGTGATCCGCACACAAATCATAGTTTCGCAAATCGCTTGCTGGAATTGTCAGATTTGATTATCTTTCGTCGAGTATGCCAACGAATTTGATTGTTTTAATGAAGAATGAAGAGTAGCGCAGAGAAGTATCTGATACAATCCGACTGTCGCAGCAGTAGCATACTTATGATATATGCAGCACAATCAGCATTATCAACAATATCAACATGACACCCGACAGCAACAACAACAAAAATAACAACAAAGACAACAACAATACTTCCATATCAATTTAGCTGCTTTTGTTGGAAATATATTCAAAAAAAAAAAAGAACAGAAATATAATGAAATATTGAAATTATACAGGATTTACGAGAGTAAATTGAATAATTTACCCAAATTCATGTCGAGCTGCTACAAACATACTAAACTGCTAAAGGTACTCGTACACACATATGTATATTCGCGGATTGTTGGGTTTATGGCATGGAAGATGATTCAACGGATGCACTTATCAAATTGTCATTAAATTTGCATGTTCAAAGTCCCGGCAGACTTGCTCGGCATTTTGCTCGTTGCACTTTGGTTGATTGAAGTGAAAACAAAAATGAAAATTAATATTATGAGATGCAATCTAGATAATTATAAATTAGCACAAATATCGCTTTCAATCCATATGTGCAAATTGGGATCGCTTATAGGTCATACGTACCTGAAACATTGTCGACTGTATAATATTGTCTGTGAACATGTTTCTGCAAGAAAAATAAATAGTGAATTAAAAATTCAACTTAATTCTGTTGTGTACACTGCATACCTCACTAAATCCATTAGCGTGTCTGGAGTTAATACTTTGGAGGCTTTATCTACAGACTCAATGTGTGTCGCCTCAATTTTGGCGCCTTGGCCAGGCTTAATTGTGGTGACCAAGCAAATACCCAAAATCACAGCTGATATTGTTGTGAGTAGATAATAAATAATTGATCTAAAATAAAGATAAGAAATGGATTTTGTGAAAATAACTATTAATGTGTGTTTCAATATGTATCTTAATGCATATTTATGTAAAAAAGTGACATACACCTTAAAAGTATAATATAACTGCAAAATATATAAAACAGAAATATGCATAAAATTTTCTAGTGAAATGATATCTCTGTGTTGATGATGGTAGCAAAATGATGTATACTTTATCTACATATTGTTCAAATTTTAAATAATTCCCGTTGTGTCGGTCGATCGAAATAACAAGGTTAAAAAACAATTACTAAATTATGCTTAAAATTGAGTAAAAATGGCAGTAAAATGTACGGAACACTAAATAAAAGTGTACGGAAACAAAAAGGTTTTACGTTGGTTTGACCTTTCCCGAGAAGACCTTAAAGACGATGAAAGAGTATCGTCACAAAACACCATTAGCAACGAACCAAACATCGAGAAAACTGAAATTATTCATTGAATCAGCTATTAGTTGTCGACGAGACTCATCGAAAAGAAATCTACAAGACAGATAGCACCGTCTATTGAATTTTGAATAAAGATGTGATGACATCGAATCAAGCATATCAGATATTGTAACTAACGATAAAAAGTAATTTTTTAGTTACTTAGTTAGTTGAGGCGGAAGGAGAAACGAATCCCTCTTAATTGGCTAGGAAAGCCATTTTGAATCCACAAATCCCTTTAGCTTGGTGTTCAGTTTATATGATTAAAATGTGAGAACATAGTATGCGTTGTGTGTTTTGTAGTTAAAGCACCTTCTTCTTGAAATTATATATACTTTAAAAAAATGGTTAAATAATTAGCTGTAACAATAAGAATATATTTTTTATGTCAGACCTTCGTTATTATTAAATAACTGCCGGCCAATTTCACCTCAGACTAAATAACACATATACGGTGGTTTTCTGCGGATGCACTGGTTTTTCACAAGATGCTACTTGTGAATTTTTATTGCTCTAAATGCAACAATTTTGTTAATTCAATTATTCATCAAATCACTTGAAGAAAAACATCATTCGAGGGAATGGTTAGAGACTGAGGATAGTGTTCTCAAACGACTACAAACACAATAATCCGCTGGAAAAGTTTTGGCTTCCGTATTTTGGGATTCAAGTGAACACTATTATTATTGGATCGATTGTATGAGGAAATAAAGAAAAAACGACCACATTTGTCGAAGAAAAAAAAATTTGTTTTTACAGGACAATGTGCTCTCTCACACCTTAATGAAAATCATGGAAAAATTAAATAAATTATAGTACAAATTGCTTTCTCACCCACCGTATTTTACAGATTCGGCCCGCAAGGGAAAGGGATTTGTATCAAATAATGACGTGAAATGGGAAACTGAGAGATATATTTTGGAGGACTTCACAATTCATATTATTTAAAACGTATCTAAATGTTGGAAGATTACTGAACTCAGTCTATCGACATAAAGGAGAACTACATTAAGACCGAAAAGTTTTCGGAAATTCTCATTTAAAATTCGCGCGCTGTATATTTTTCGATATTTTAAGTTTATGTAGTTTGGCAGCAATTAAGGACAATTACTATGCCAAAAATGAGCGCGATCTGTCAGACAGTTCGTTTACGGCAGCTGTTGAAACCAGTTCACCTCAGTAGGGCGTTGCGAAAAAAACAATGGAAAAAAATATTGAACAAAGAGTTTGCATCAAATTTTGTGTTTCGAACGAAATTTCGTGTGCAGAATCGTTGCGAATGCTACAAAAGGCTTATGGGGAATCAGTTTTATCGAAAACTCAAGTTTATGAGTGGTACAAAGCCTTCCAGGACGGTCGTACGACCGTCGAAGACATTTCGCAACGCACTACTGAGGTGAACTGGTTTCAACAGCTGCCGTAAACGAACTGTCTGACAGATCGAGCTCATTTTTGGCATAGTAATTAAGGACAGTGCTGCCAAACTACATAAACTTAAAATATCGAAAAATATACAGCGCGCGAATTTTAAATGAGAATTTCCGAAAACTTTTCAGTCTTAATGTATATAGAAGCATAAAACATAATTTTCCAAAAAAATACATTTTTATTGCTTAAGCCGGGTATTTATCAATTCACCTAGCATGCATACCAATAAATAGAATATTGTTTAGTTTGACATAAAACTGGTGGTTGTTCAAAAAAATTTGACAACCAATAGTTTTAGGGAAAGAACTTTAGAAAATTTTAAAGCAATAATTAAAAAGAGTTTTATTCTTTTATTCTGCAGTGCCTGTTTTAAATAAAAATATTGCTTGTGTAAGAAAAAATTGCACAATGACTTTATTTTTGAAAAATATATCACGATTTATTCGTGTGATGAACTTAAACCCGGTCCTACAAACAATGATCCCGCCCTATAATACAGTAGTATCAACGTGGTTGTTTTTATTGTTAGTGTCTTGTTAATATCTTGTTTTGTTAATATTAGTTCTTTCGAATTTTAATTCACAATTCCAAAAGAATAGTGTTTCTTATAATATAAACTACTTACCTCGAAGCAATTTTACTTGACATGCTCAGATCAAGACCACCTATCGCACTTGTGATGGACGAAACCAATAAAGGTACAATTAAACATTTTAGCATACTGCAAAAGAGAAAATATATAATTAATCACGTACATGGTTTCTTTAGAAATATGAGATATTGATAAATGTATTACTATCATATAAGTTATACCATATAACTAATTATGATTAAACATGTATATTCATTATATATCTTATATTACATTTTATTCATTAAATATGAAGTAACAAAACAAATGTAGAATACAGAAAAAAATCTGTATTTAATAAGTTTTTAAAAATATACTCACCGCAAGAAAAGTTCTCCTGGAAACGATATATACATAATTTCTCGTTTTGTCCAGGGTCCTGTGCTATTTTTAATGATAAAGCCAATTAAACCTCCAATGAACACACCGGTGACTGTGAACAATGTAAGCGAGTTCTCTTGCATGAACAAGCGAAACTTGGATTCGTTTCTAGGTCTTGACATTTTGTAGAATGTATATGTATATACTGACCCGTCTTGGGAAAAATCTGTGCTTATACTTTAAGGACTTATAGTTAATGGAAACTGTAAAGAAAAGAAAAAACATATAAGATATAAGTTTCATATAAGAAATAACAAAAAAAATCAAAATTGGTAAATTATATTCAAAAAAAAATCTATATAGACTGATGTTTTATTATGATAAATTATGTGAGTTAGATTTTAAAACATCAATATATTTAGACACTTATGTCGTATAAACAATTGTGATATTGTTTGAATATGACAGTAGGTCAGGTTAGATTATACCGGTGATCCCAAGGGATTCACTTAGGCCGATACGCCCATGGTGTTACCGTATAATTCAAAATCATCATCATACATTATACCATTATAACATTATACATTACAAATTAGTACTTCACTACTGAAGGAAATATAGAAAGCAGCAGTTAGTATCTGTGATATAATTAATTGCGAATATAAAGCTTGAAAACTTTAATGAAACAACAAATTACCAGTTGTGATGAATCGGATCACATATTTGATAACTACTTTGGCATCAAAGCTTCAACAATTAAAAATGCAAGCAAATAACACTGACGGGGAATAGATGGGTAGTGGCACAAGAGCCAGATCTAGTGTATCTACTGATTTGTAAATTCCATTAACTTCGAAACTCTACTTTATTATAATAGACTGAAATTTTCGACATCTTAAAAGCCTATTTTCTTGTTGGACTTCTTGAAAAATTAATTCTTAATTTTAAATGACAGTGAGGTACTTATTCAAGCTTTTTCGGTAATATTGCATCTCTTACAAGAGAGTTTATAATGTCAACGATTTAAAAACATGTTAAGTAGTACTTTCAAACTTTTAATAAAACTTCGGGTATCGAAGAAGGACCTTCAATGAAACCTCCCGTTTCAATTCTGCTTCTCCTAACCAGTGTCAGAGGTTAACATACGTCCATTTTTTGTGTCAGGTCAACAGAAATTAAAATAATATTTCTTCATTAGCGAAATTAACAGCGATATGTTTTATATACATCACTTCATGAAACTCTGCTTTCATACATAAAAGTAAATCAAAAATATCTGTGGATATATTGGTTTTAATGGATCATTGAAGTACACAGCTCACCATGGAGTTAGGCTTGCATTGCAAAATTTGTTTAAGCTCTTGTTTACCGGTGCTGGAGAAAAAGACATCGTAAAAGCTGTTGTGTCTCTACTCAGGCTGGTTCATATCCAAACGTAAGCTAGGAACCCCACTTTGTAATTGATTCAGTGATATTCCCATTATCAACTGGCTTTATTATGGTGGAATTTTCGCACGCAAATATGAAGAATAAGGAATCAAAAGTGTTTTCTAAGTTAAGCAAGGAGGATTCAATTTTTTTCTTTTTTTCTTCTTCACTAGCACCGACATCAGTTTTCTTTAGAACTTTCGAATAAATAATTAACAGTAGATGCTATAAATTAGTCAAGAATTAATCAGAGTAAAAATGATGATTTTCAATTAAATCAAAAGACTCTACCGGAGGCAAAAATTATATCATTTTTGAGATTGAGAACAAGAAAAATCAGTTATATAAAACAGAAACTACCAGAAACTATACTAACTAATATACCAACTAAAAAGGTGTAAGGGAATCTCATTTGATATTGTAGATAAATTATTTGTAAAAACAGGATTGATTTGATTAATACAAAATACAGAAGAAAAAGTAGAATAAATAATAGAAGATAGCTGTTATTGAGGGTAATTGTTATAGCGAAACTATTACTTTTATATGTATTCTATATAGTAAGTATTCTAAACTTGTAATTGCACTGAGACCTTTAAGTTGCTAAAGATATTTAAACAAATTAGTTAAAAGAAGGTAGACAATGATGAATTGGAAGTGTTTGGGTAACTACTAAATTGAAAGACTTATATGTCTTTCTTCTTACAATAGGAAGATTGAACATCATACGCAGGATATGCACGGAGAACTTTGATTAAAATATACTTTGGAGTATGTCCTTCGCTATTTGCAATATGTTTAAATTGCTTGAGTTTGTTGGGAAATCAAACGAAAATTTTGGTAGAGAATATACACAACTTCTTGGACTTACTTTAAATGTTGATGTATCAAGTACCGGTCTATTACTTTCATATGTATTCTATATATTAATTCTCAAGCAACATAATCAATACGTAAATAACTTAGCTGTAAGGTTATTAAACCTAATAAAAAATATTTTTTTAAAAATCGATTATAACACTTAAAAGAATATCATATAAAAAGTTGCTCTCAAATGCTTCAAATGACAACTCAATGAACATCAACAAATATTTTCCAGATTTGGCTGCGCTCTTTGCATGTCAAGTTTAATTGTTTAACCAGACATATATAATTATTTCAAATATCACAAAATATTCATCATATCTGATTCCTCACTATCATCATTGATCTTCTTTATGTGTTTATTTAAATCGAGATCAATTATATGACAAACTCGTGGCTTGGATCACTTAAACTCAATTAAGCACAAAATCTCTTAATTTTGTTCCATTTGAGACTTTGCGACTTAAAGTAATTAATTTTTAAGTATTTTTGTTTCTTAAATTTGTAATAAACAATTAATTGAAAAGTTAAAAATATATACAATATTTTTTATGTTTTCTAGTATTCCAATCGAAATTATTAAATAAATAATTAAAGAAATACTTTACTATTATTGTTAGACTTTCAGAGTTTCAAATTGAGTATCATTATCATTAGTATTCCAGATAGTGACGGTCCACTTAAGCACTTAAGCAAAAATAATATGCTGTTGTAGCACCACAGGTTTAACCTTTGTTATTGCGACAACTAGAGGTCAGCGTACGAGCAAAACGGAAGGCATGACTCTCCTATTAGGTAAAAATAAATCAACCTGACAATTCTATAAACTTGGCCAAGTTCCTAATTTTGCAGGATAACAGTTCTGTTAGATTGGTAAGAAAGGAGCCACGAAATTCTTAGATCTCCTCTTCTTAAAGATGGTTCCTTACACATGAGGTAGAGCACAGTTTTTTTTTATTCGTAGAGCCACAATCTCGATAGAAGTCATAATAAGGTAGACCCAGTTTAGAGCTTGGGAATGCTCAAGTATTTTTGTTTTTTTACCAGTTTAACAACTGCAAGTGGAACGTCAATTCCTGAGAAGTGAATGTCACGAAGTAGAGTGCCTGTGATATCAATCTTGTCTGCCCTATAGTTAAGATGTACCTGTGTTTAGGAACTATTCCAGGTCATTGATAACTTAAAGAGCTGATTTATCTTTTGTATTAATGAAGATTTAAAGTTGTTGCGAGATTGCTTAAAAATATATTTTACTCATTTCAACTTAATAAGTCTGTATACGAAGGCATTTTCGCTTTGCTTGGAATATGACAACGTTAAGGCATAAATTTCAACTACACATAGGAATCAAGAAATTCTCAACAAAAGATATTCTGATATGCAATCGAAGTGCAGAAATATGATTATAGTGCTCTGCTCCATAGCACACTAAAATCAGCTCCATGATATTTCCATAAGGAGCATTTACTCCTGTAGTAAACGTTTGGTTTGAGCTAATACAGTTTTATAAGGCAACATAATGTGTGAACAACCACCATGAGTCTTTAAGATACCCAGAAAACTTCTTTCGATTTTAAAGATATATAGGAAAAACATTAATATAGAAATATTTTAAAATAATAACTATAATAATATAATAATGATAATAACATTGTTTAATAATCATAAAAACAATATTATTCATTTAAATGACATTTATGTTATTAAGCTTTTAATAATGATAATCATAAATAATAACTACAAAAGGTATAGCCATAACCTTAAAATTAATAATAAATAATATATTTAACCAAAATTTTGTTTTTGGCATCTTAAACATTGTATGAAAACTTTAATATACGAGCACGTATCAAATGGACCTCCAGCGTTTTTATTGAAGTAACTACCTATCAAACTTAATCCAGTAATATTGATATATATATTAAATTACATTTTGAAGTTAATCTTCTCATTGTTATGTCAAACAAAGGAGATATGTATATACATATAATCTACACACCATATAAGTGCTATATGAGTTACACATGGAAGCATAGTTCTAGCACTTTTGTAAAAATTCAAATTTTTTCATTTTTGGTGAGCCAAATATTGCTCATTATATGTGCAGATATTTCCGATAATATCCCCTTTTTTTTTTCTTCTGCTACAATTAATATTTGCTTTATATTCTTAAAGCAATCACAGTAGAGTAACCGCAATACACATATTAGAAGAAATCCTGTGTACCAATCAAGTTATTTATTAGTACCTATTATTTTTGGAACAGCAGGAGAACTCAATGCTCCGCATCCACTTTATTATTATTAGAATCAAATGTGTATCTAGCCTCATAGAAAACGGGAATATAGTACATTGCAGAGATTCTATGCTATTGGAAACTTTAGTCCCTCGCCAAATGGAAGATCACTGGCATACTCCAATTTGCGCCACTGGCTATCTAAACTAAAGAGATATATTATACGCAAGTATTGCTCTTCTACTAGTAAACTAACAATAAAAATCATAGGAAAAATTAGATTGAGTTATACTTGCGATGTAGTGAACTCCATTAAGTAGTAAAGATCACCGCAATCTTCTAGAGAAATTACCTGTTTAAAGGTTGTGTTAACTGTGCCTGTAGATGATATCATGTCTCACTATTGTGATCAATTATTGTGATTTTAATATAATTTACTGCAGTGTATGTGATAATCCATGTTTTCTTTATAAATATATTTATGATTAACACAATAAGACGAGTTAATTTTGCGATATTTGTCTAATTGTATATATGATTATCTGGCTGCGTGGTGGTTTGTCTATTTGTTAATATACAAACTAGACTATTCTCTTGACTATTTTGCTGTACTATATAGTTTTTGAGAGAATAAAGATTTTTAAGTTACCTTTTGAATTCTGGAATATTCGTTGGAAAAATTGATGAAATATGCTGAACATTATAATTGCTTTCTTACGAAATAACTACTAAAAA